GGAGAAGTGACTGTCGATGAAATTTATTCATCTTTTAAAGTAAACGAAAATTAATTAAGATTTAAGACGGAATCAATCAGGGAATTGAATAATATTAATTTTAAGTGGACAAAAACCTTCTACCAGAATAATTCTAAGCATACTGCATTCTTTTTTACATTGTTCAAGGACTAAAGATGTAATTAGTCATCTGTAATAACACAAAAGAATATTGATTATGGGAGCCCGGGAAAGTGAATGTCAAATTCACAAAATTACATCTTACACATGAAATTTTCAGAATTTTACCTGTGTTTTCACAATTCGTGTGAAATTTCATTTTCCGACTAATCTCGATCTGAGGAAATTAAACAGCTTTTTTGTTTTTCACGCATGCGCAAAAGCCAAAATTTGGACTTTTCATGGCGAATCTATTTCGATCTTTCTCTCTCGCTCTCTTTTTTTTCCTTCTTTATTGGCGGTTTTGTTGCCCACTTTACCGTCTTTCTTTTGCATGGAATTCTGGCTGGCTACATTATTAGGAAAGGGACAAATTTAATGTTCAAGTAGTAGTGTGTAAACAGCGAAATTGGCGGTGGAATTTTTCCCAAAATTTTACTTTACTTTGTGAGTGTAACTCTGTCAGGGTTAGTCAGAATATCCCAAAACGAGGCATCGCTGGAAAGATCTATCTTTGCTGACATTGTTGGTTACTAATTTATTAACATCAACTGAAAGCTAAATGGGTCAAGGGAAAATTCTATACAATGTACCATATGGGGACGTAAACGACCCTAGCCGTCCGAAAAGGGTTAAGAAAATAATTGTATCTCCAGTCTACCCTGCTGCAGCCATGAAACGTTCATGATAACCGGTGTTAACATAAAAGCGTTGGAAAAAAATTGAAAATGGCTTAGAACACGGTTTTGCCAACCACCGGCTAAACTTCGTTTAAATAACCGGCCTTTGAGTCTCTTAAGACCTTTTAGGAAAGTTCATTTTGAAGGTCCACTGGCTTCTCTGTAAAATTTGTCTTCAGTTGAGACTATTTTCACGAAAAAATTAGTTGAAAATCATGAATATCGGGTGAAAGATTTTAAAGTTCACGTATCACTACAAGGAAACCAGTCATAGTTCACGGGTTTTAAATTCGTATTTTCACCTTTCACGAAAATTAAAAACACTTAATCACGTATCACGCAATAACCCCTTTACCCTCCTCCTTGAAAAATGTAAAAAAAGAAACGCAATGTTATTCTGGTACAAGATTTTTGTCCACTGAAAATTAAAAAGACTCAATTTCCCGTTGGATTCCGTCTTAAGTTCTGTTACAAAATAGCTTTGAAGTTTCGATAAAAGGAGCAAACCTGTGTGAAAGTAACGATTTCACTTGTTGAGTGCCTGCATCAGTTTGAGGAAAAACTCCTGATCTTCTTTTCGTCGTTTCTTCTTTCTCTTTCTTCCTCTGCCTCCCAAAAACGCCTGTCAGCTTCTTGTTGGTAATTCATGAAGGCTTCTTAAGTCTTGTTGATTTTGTTGAAACCATCGGCAGCTGTTGGATGGCCTGGAAAAGTGCACGGTGCGCGCTTGTTTAAAAACTCCTCACTGTACACGTCCCTTTGTGGTGGTGTCTTCACCCCAGATGATAGTGTGTACGAAACGATCAATGGTGTGAGGGTGCCACCACTAATTCTTGGACACTCGGCTTACCCACTGCAAGACTGGCTGATGAAGCCTTACGTGGACCGAGGAAACCTGAGCGCTGAGGAATTACAGTTCAACAATCTTCTAAGCATCACAAGATCGAGAGTTGTAGTAGAGATATGGATATGGAAGATTAAAAGGAAGATTTCCTGTGCTTGCAAAGCGGCTAGATCTGAATGTAAATAATTGTTGTACTGTACTATTGCGGCTTGCTGTGTACTGCACAATTTTTGTGAAATCATGAAGGAGGAATTTGAGGAACAATGGCTTCTTGACATTCCAATCAATGGCATGATCTGCCCAAGCGAAGATGTAAACCGGCAGCAAGACAGGAATGCTGCAACAATCAGAGAAGCCATAAAAATTTTCCTGTCTTAAACAAACTTTATAATAATTTTTTAGATGTCAATACAAGCCAGGGGAGTAGTCCTCATTTTAAGTGATGGGGACAATCAAATGCATGGGGGCAAGAATCAAAACCCAAAAAACTGCCTAGCCAGTAGGGCTTCCAATAAAACCCCCCAAAAACCCTGGACCAAAATGTAACCCCCAACAAATATCATGCAAATTTTCGACCTAAAAGTTTAGTTGTTCCTTAAGAATTTTAAACCCAAAAAATCCTAAAAGGAGCAAACCTGTGTGAAAGTAACGATTTCACTTGTTGAGTGCCTGCATCAGTTTGAGGAAAAACTCCTGATCTTCTTTTCGTCGTTTCTTCTTTCTCTTTCTTCCTCTGCCTCCCAAAAACGCCTGTCAGCTTCTTGTTGGTAATTCATGAAGGCTTCTTAAGTCTTGTCGATTTTGTTGAAACCATCGGCAGCTGAAAGTCTCCTCTTCTTTCCTGTGAAAACTTTCTTCTTCTCTTCAGTTTTCTTCGCTGTTTCAGAATGTATAGTGTACTTCATGTAAGGTGCTCTCGCAAACCTCCATTTTCATTGGCCTTCGAAAACAAAGCTTTCATTGTTTTATCATTCAAGTATTGTTTCGTTGCCCAATAGAATATCCTGTTTTCAGATTTTCGTGGCGTCCTTGGGGAAAAGTTTTGTTGACGCCTGTGGGCCCGCCTGTTGGCATTTTAACTTTTCTGTTATAACTTCCGCTTGCGAAAAAAGAAACACTTAAAGTTTGTACGAGAGAAACAGCTACAAATTACCTGCCAATACATGCTCCTGAAATACTTCAGAAGAACTGCTACTACTACTGTTGTTGTCGCTGCTGCGGCTGCCCTTCGGGATGATCTCAATATTTTCACTTTCGCCTTCACACGATGATGCCGTAACAATTGTTGTCGAATTTATGACAACTTTTGGTAGTGTACTCGGCTTATCGGATAGTATTTTATCCAGCTCATCGAAGAATGATGGTTTTTAGCTTGGTGTGCCGTTTCCCGCCTTCTTAAGTTCGTCTTTGTATTAGCGGTATGCTGTTACAAGAGTGTGGAGGCGGGTTTTGCGGGCTTCTCCTTCGCGGTCTTTCATATTCACAGGCCATTAAAAAGTCGCCAATTTCTGGCCATATTGGCTTTTTGCTAGTACAGGACTTCAATCTTAGCTGGACGTTTTCGTCTCCCCATTTTTCGAGCAAAACTCTAGTTTCCCTGTCCTCCCACGTTCTTCCGCGAACTTTTTTTGGAGCCGCCATTTTGAAGCAGTTCAGTTTCGCGCGAAAGTTAAACTACCTCCTGCAGGTTGTTTAGTTAAACACGTTTTAAACATGTTTAGATTGCGTCAGCCCGCGATGTACCCTGCGAGCAGAGGCTACATTTTCGCGGTATGAGCTGGCGTGCGAAAAGTAGCCTCTGCCGACAACCGCTCAATTTTCTATCGTGCATGCGCAAAATTCGTCACACTATTCGCAAGCAACTGGTTCGTCAAATCTGCGTGAGTTTCGCGGGAAAACTACCTGCGAACTACTCTCCTCGAGCTTCTGTTTTGTTTTTCTGCTTCGCCCCTTCTGGTTTTAACTATTTTAGCCGCAAAATTTCCACGGATCGTCTTTTTTGGGAAAGTATTTTTATGCTATCAACTGTAGTAAGTTCTGTCTGTTTTGCGAGAAGCACATTTTTCCGGCTTTAATATTACCTATTTATAGTTGTGCTCAAAGTGAAAAATGAAATTCGCCGACAACGCTACGCAGAAGTGATGTTTGAAGTAAATTGGATGCTGTAGTCTCACGATTGTGTTTTAAACTAATGTTATGAATGAACATAGACAAAACAGTAGTCAAAAAAATTATTTATCGAAAAATTTTATTCGACAACCCATAATTTTATCCTTAAAAGCAATTCGCGTAATACTAACTGGATTGTGGATCATTTCACGCAAGTAAAAGCTGCCGAAGACATCAAATGTCAACGCAAAAATCCGTCTCAAGTCGTATAAAACATCTATGAAACAACTATAAATACTTAAATTTCCATTTAAAAACGGAACTTCCTTGACCATTGATGTGCAAGTTGTACTTGAAAATTCTTTAAAAACTTTGCCGCCTTGGTTTCTTTTCAGAACAGGAGAAGCTTTCCACCGTGAAGAAACCAACCAGGTTGAAGTCCTTGAGGGCGAATCAGTGTTCAGCCAAAAGCTTTTTTTCTACTTTTTCCACCAAAAGGAAACTGATCGATGATTCTTTTGAACATTCCGGTTCCCATTTGTGTCTTAAAACAGTGCATTTAGCCTTGTATTGAGAGGCGACACAACAAAAATCACCGCAGTATCCATTTTCTTTTCCTGGCAAACAAGAACTACCATAATGATAAATTAACGATCTTTACACGGTCCCGTAAGAAGCACCGGCAGCAGCTTGTTTTGGTATTCCGACAGCTTTAAAATACAGAGCTTATTCAAGTTGTTGACGACGCTCTTTTAAACACATAAACAGGGATGTTTGAAGTTGTTTTGAACTTTTCCTGTTGCTACGTTCGAGCTACGTTGATCCGCGTTCGTATGCGAGAATTTGGCGCGAAGGAATGCATGAAGGCGCAGTAATGGTCAGCGTTCATTCGCTGACGCAAGACTCACGCAATGCTCTAAACCGGTCAAGAACAGGAAAAAACCCGTTTTTTTTAATTTATTCGTCCAGATTTCTGGACGGATTTGAACGGTTGTCGGCAGAGGCTACTTTTCGTACGCCAGCTCATACCGCGAAAATGTAGCCTCTGCTCGCAGGGTACCCGCGATGTGATTTGTTTTTATTTTATACTGAGTTTCACTAAACATTATTTAAACATGTTTAAGCGTTGGTGTAAGTATCTTGAGGACAGAACAGCCGATATGGTGAAACCAATGTTCTTCGCCTGGACCCTCACAGTTCTCCTTTGGATGTTGTCTGCAAAACAAGCCTCAGGAAGCTTTCTTTCGTCGCTGCAATTCACCCGTGATGCACTGATGGATTTTTCGCGTGGTTCACAGAGAACTGTAAACATCACCCTAGAACCAAAGAAGACGACGAGGATAGTCAATAAAACGTATGCTTTGATAGCTAGTCAAACACTAAGCAGTAGGACCTTAATAAAGAAAGTCGATGAAAGTGTGATGAAGACTGCGTACCCTGGTTTTGCTACAATCCCATCTGACCTTATCAAAGATTCGTTAGATCCTTCAATGAGAAAGGACTTGCCAAAGAACCTACTAACAACAATTACCTACGACAGAGGTGTCAAACAGGTTATACTCGTGCCAGTCAAAGAAAAAGTACTAATCAAACAGACGAAACGCGAAGTTTACAAGTCACGTACTTCACCTTCTAATAAATTTATGAAGGCCATCAAAGACATTGAACTAGCAGAAGCAAATGCAAACGCCTTAGGAGTCAAGTACAGCTACTCTACCTTAGCAAAACTTAAGAGTCTTGTTGAAAAGGCAATACAGAGCAAGAGCTATATATATGCTAGACAGGTAAGATATTTCGAATATTATTTGCGGATTGGGGTTAACTAGGAAACAGAGGAAAGCTTAAGGAAACTTTTTTAGTACAAACGCCTTCCAAATCATATGTAACAGGTAGAGCAGTATAAATGAGGATGAAGAAAAATTTACTTGAACGTATTTCGGTAAAATTATACATTAATCGTACGATGTAAATCTTGTTATTTGTGGTACTTAAATTCAGTAGGCAAGTATATCTATTAGTCATTTTCAGTTTGGCCAGGAACCACCCAAGCTAAACCTCGGGATTGAGCCAAGGGCACCCAACGACAATTTTCGGAAAATATCTGTGCAGAATTGAAGACGATTTGAGATCTAGAATTTTCGGAACATTTGTTGTAAAATTTTTTGCTTGACTGCCTCTCCTAGGATTTTCGAACATCTAAAAACTACTATAATTGCCCATTTTTAACGGATTTTTACCCTTAAAAGGTCACCTAGAATTTCCGGGAGCCTTTTTTCTGGCTGAAATTTTCAAAAAGGTAAGTTTTGATCCCTATGATTTTCGGATCACTAGACTTTCAGCTAGGAAATCTGAACAGATGAAAAATTTTTAAGGGATAAAAATATGCCAATACCTACCGTTGAAATGCTAACATACGTTTAACAATGCTATGTTTAAGTGGTTTTGAACTATATTCTCGTTGGGTGCCCATGTTGAGCAGTACTTTCACAAGGTATTTTAAAAAGTAAAGATTTTAGATAACGAGAATTTTAGATTTGAGTCTAACCAAACTGATTTCATAAGACTGGAAACTGACAGAGGTGATATTCTATACTCTCTCAAAAAAGATTCACTTCCTTGTTTGAAGGATAATTAATTAGTATATTTGTATATTTAAACATTTTCAGATCGTCGGAAAGATCATGTATTTACTGAGCACCAAGGCAAAATCGTCAAGTCGGAAAAAGAGAAGCTCAACAAGTGAGGGAAAGGCATTTCTTCAAGATCTTCGGAAAAAAGTCGGTGCCACTAAATTTGATAGCTTTTTGGCTGTGCAAGGCGATGTAGGTCTTATGTTTGCCATAGATGATACAGGAAGCATGGGCAATGAAATCGAAGCGGCAAAGAAGATCGCAAAAGATATCATAAATTACCGCGAGCGGAAAGTCCCTATCAAGGAATACATCTTGTCACCATTTAACGACCCCTATCCATGTGAGTAAAATTTGGTTTTTAGTCGTCCTTTCGTGTAGCCTTCCTCCACGCAGACGTTCTTAGGGGTTCTGGCGTCACTCATTAAATCAAATCAAATCAAATCACTGGTTTAATGTTCCTTTTGCAGTCGGAAGACTGAATTGTAGGATACCTTACAAGCTGTGATAAATGTGCAAATACGCTACATTGATTTACAAGATTAATATTTAACACTAACAAAATTTGAGAAACGTTCAGTCCTTGTGGCCATGGGCCTGCTCGAACTCGCTGATCTTAGACACACACTGGTAGATATAGGTACCACTCTGTTGTGTATTAGTGGGTATAATCGGTTACCTGGCCGAACCTTACCTATAAATTTAATACACGAGACTGTCTGACGGTCAGAAAGAGTGGATAATGCAGCTTTGTCAAGTACTGTTTCATACGAAATACCAGGCCAAATGATGGAAAGGGCCCTTTTTTGTACATTCTCGAGATAGCAAGCAAGATACTTCTAAGGCAAACCAGCGAAGACAGCGTAGGCATACTCTAGTATAGAGCGAATTAGCACGCAGTAGATATGAACAATATCAGCCGATGGAACTTTGCACTTCTTGAGTTGTCTCAGTGCATAAAACCATCTGTTGGCCTTCTTCACTATGTAGTCGCAGTGCACTGCCCAAGTTCATTAGAACGTCTGTGTGGGAGGCTATCTTTCGTGTCATCTTTTGTGCCTTATGAGTACTAAATTTTTCTTCTGTGTTGCAGTAACAGCACTAGGGCACCCACGCAATCTGTTCGTGTATCCAATTGTAATTTTGTTATAAATGTATTGGATTTAACGTTTGCTTTACATCTGTAGAAATATATCGCTAAATATGTACAGGGGTCAATGTTAAATACACTTTTATAAGCTTGTCTGTGGTATGCTAGATTGTTGTCCTTAAGTTTGTTTCAGAACTGAAATTTTCAGCGATTTTGAAGGACTTTGAGTTCGTCGGTTACTGTGCCTCTCCACACTGAATAAACAGCAAACAAAAAATACTATAAGACCAATTAAAATTCCATTTCTGAGGCAAAGGAGGACAATTTACCGAAGCTATGATAATACACTGTCAGTATCGGGCACGTTTTCTTGGCATTGATAAATGCACATATGTAGCCATATATCGTTACATATGTGTTCATATGAAGCAAATGAATCCAACTGGCCATTTGCGAGTTGCTCCAAACCTCTGTTTCAAAGCGAGGCTAGGTAAGAAGGCGTTGATAGGAAGTGATGGTTTTTGGAACTCTGAAGTGGCCTAAACATCCAGTGTAAATATCCATGAAATAAAAACCTTGGAAGAAATGGTCACACAAACAGATTGCATGGGTTTTCTGTGGTAACAGCAGTATATTTGATGACAAGAGAGTGAGTGGTTCGTTATCATAGGTCTTTAACCCATTCGCCCATTTTGCCCAAAAACGCGTTTTGAAGCTAGTCGAGTGGTTTTTTGGTCACCTTCGTGCTATAAAGAGCTAACATTTACCATAAAGCCATTTACAGCTTGAATGCTTCGCAGTAGACTGAGTATCAGGAGTTTCTGGGGAGAAAAGGGTGAAGAGAGAAGCTAAAATCTCCTCTCCCCCATCCTCGGAGACCCAGGGGCAGATAGTGGGGGCGAGGGAAAGTCTGAACAGGCGGAAAAATATGGCACAAAAGAAAAGTAAAGAACGGCCAGAAAAGCCCCTGGGGACAATGTCTTACCAGACCAGTTCCAAACGGTCGGCGACCGTTCTGGAACTGACTGGTGCCAAAAAAACATTTTCCCCAGGGGCTTTTCCGGCCGTTCTTTACTTTTCTTTTGTGCCATATTTTTCCGCCTTTTTGACTTTCCCTCGCCCCCACTGTCTGCCCCTGGGTCTCCGAGGATGCCTCTCCCCTAGCCCCTTAGGAAGGTCTGGTACTTAGGCTAGCTTCACGACCTACTCCAGATGAAAAAGATCGGGCATGCGCAAAAATCAAAATTTCGTTTTTGGATTTATAAAAGTGACACATCTGCAGCCTTGACTTTTCCTTTTCGCTTTCTCGCCTCCCCTCTTATTTCGCTTTTCTTGCTTCATTTATTTTTTTCTTTTGCTGGGCATTTAATTAGTAGGCTTCATTTTGGTGAGAATTACGTTTTTAGAAAAGCCTTCTTAGAAATAAGATAAAAGGAAAGGAGGGTAGGTAGTGGTGTTCTTGCTGAATTGTGCTTATTCTGGTATAGTTTGAAAGATCTCTTCACTCTGCACATGTTAACGGACAAAGTTCTCCTTGACCATTAAAAGTTACGACATCACAAGCGGTAGAAGGGACATAGATCCACACAGGCTGTTACGGACAGATGAGGGGCGGATAATGGGTTGATTAGTTTTTCTGCCAAAGTCACGCCGAGACAGTGGCAAAAAGCAGCTAATTTCAATTCTCTGTCGACATGTTCTTTGGAAAAGAAATATTAAGCACTAAGTCATCAAGAAGAAAAATAACTGTTAAAGCAAAGTTCTATCCACCTCTTTTGAATAATGCATGAAAATATATTTTTGTTTTCAACATCTTACACTTTTTATGTCCTTTTCTGCTTAGTGGCTCCAGGTAACACTTAGCAATGTCACACAAACGATTCGACACTTAAAAACAGTTCCAAGTATTTTTATATATATATATTTCAATTCCGATAGATCCAACAAAAGCTGATCCAGTAATTGTCAAAACCGAAACTGAAGCAGGAGAATTTGAAGAAGAAATAGACAAATTGAGGGCCCATGGCGGCGGAGATTGCCCAGAGTATACGTTTGAGGGAATGCGTGGAGCACTCAATAATATGGGAGAGGATGGTTCTCCTTTGTATGTGTTTACTGATGCAGGACCGAAGGATGCAAGAGCGGCGGATATTGAGGAAGTGAAGATGTTAGCTAAAGATCGTGGCGTAGCTATTAACTTTTTGACCACAGGTAAGGGGAATTCTTGATGTTTATATATTATATTCTTTTAAAACTGTGAAAGGTTTGAACCCAGGAGTCATTTCAAAAGTAGGTTTAGTTTGATCATCCGGGTGAACGTAGTCCTGAATAGGACTGTTGTTGTTGTTGTACAGAAAACGTCACTGTCAACAACGACAGTCCTATTCGGGACTATGTTCACCCGGACGATCAAACTCAACCTACTTTTATATTCTTTTAGTTTAAATTCTCCACATATCAGTTATACCTTCGCTTGATAGTGAAAACTAAACATCCAGTTAATGCAGGATATCCTTTAGTATTGAGCTGCTCGTAACTTGGTATCTCCTCAAACAATAACACAGCATTGCATTGTTTACAGTCAACTTTATCTAAGACACCTTTGGGGGTGTCCGTCTCAGATAGATGTCCGTCTTATAGAGAGTACACTAAAAGGAGTAAAGAAAGACAAGGACCAACTCTAGGTGTCCGTTTTAGGGAGTTGTCTGTCTTAAAGAGGTGTCCGTTAAGAGAGAATTTACTGTAGAGTTATATTTCCATTGTTTTACGGAAAACGTACAGTAACTTATTAGTCGCGGAAGAACAGTTTTATAAACATCAGCACTTCGTACGCTACCCATACACCGCTTATGAAAGAGAAGACCTCCAGCAGCTAGGGTAACCCAAATATGTTTTGGCCCTATAAAATTATTACATGGCTGACTTCACAAGTGCATGGGAAGGTGAAGGGGATCCTGTGTTTTGATTGGCTACCTGAGCAGGCAAGGTGGGCTGATCTTGTCCGCTCAGGATTTCACTTTTTTGGCCATATAATCATCTGTGTGAGTTTGCTAAAGGGTGCCTGCTAACTTTTCGCTTGAACACGGGTGTTCAAGCCAGTGTTGCCGGAAAAAAACCCGGGGGGCTTGCCATCTTGCTAGGCGTCAGCAGAGAGCCCAGGCCCACACCTATCCGTGGGTGGGTGGCTAACTTGTTTTGTGTCAAAACTAGGGGGGTAGGGAGGGGAGTTTTGTCACTTTGATTAGAGTTTCAAGTGAGAAAGCAGTCCTGCAAAATCAAGGAATTTTTCCTGTTGGCTAGCCCAGCCAAATCATTGCTGTGGCTCATAATCATAACACTATTGGCAGAGCTTGGGGGGAGTGATTGACTAGTCATAAGTGTCATGGGTGGGGAGGCTGAGTGCTTGCTCCTTGGACTTGGCTGTCTAGAGACCGAGTACAGGCACCTTGTATGAAATTCACACAGACATGTAAATCCTTTATTTACCAAGCCTTTTCGGTCAAGATGACTTTTTTTACATTGTTATTGACCCTTGACTTCGTCTAGGTCACTAACACAAAAAAGGAACTTGGCTGTTATCACCCATCTTGATCTGACGCTTGGTCAATAACGCATGGTGTAAAGTAGTTTGTCATTCAGGTCGTAACCAGAGCTCGTAAAGCCGGACTTGCACTGAACAGTTATTTAAGGAGATGAGCGTTCAACCCATAGCCTTCCAATTACATTGTCTCCCCAAGGCAAACAATATTACATAAAGGTTTAAAATATAGCTCTACTGTAGATAAATCTTTATCCAAGCATTTTATTACTGTGTCTTAGACTTAAGATAGTGTTCATACTGGGACAAACAAATGCGGGTTCTATTATGACGCACTGTCGATACATTGCTGACTAAAAACCTGTTTCTAATCCACCATTTATTGAGATTAATAATGTTGGACGGTGAGAAGGGATTTTGCCTTGCGTGTGTTTCATGCTCAGAAACGTTTCTAACTTCAACTTCTTAAAATGTTTAATAAAGGTTCTTGTCGCAGTCGAGGTTACAGCTCGCATGATCCAAGGAATCTTCACCCAGACTTCCTAGATCTGGCTAAGAGTACTTCTGGTTTAGCCATTATGTTTAACAACGCAAGGGAACTGGAAAAAGTAAGCAGTTTGACAATCGGGACATTGGATGGCGATGCTACCGTATCTACCGGCTCAACCAAGACGAGCAGAAAAAAGAGGAGTTCTGCTGGATTAACTGACAGTCGATATAGCATTCCTGTTGATGACTCTATTGAAAAGATGTCTGTAACCATAACTACAGCGACAGGAGGTAGGCGATTCTGGTTGTAAATACGAGTAAACATTCAAAATTATCAATATTGACGCGTGTTTGGGATCAGGAGCTAATAACAAAGAGCGAGATACTCCCATATCAGGCCTATGTCACGGCCTTTTTACAGCCGGTTTATTTTTAGACACATTTTAGAACACTTTTCCCCGCAAAGCTTGGAAGCCTAGTTAGCTAGACATCCATAGGGAAAACTAAACGTCATTAAAAGGTAAAAAATATCCGCGATTTTTTAGATCTGATTGTTTGGCTAGATGATTGGTGTGACTTTTAAAAAAATATTTTTAATTGACGCCAAAATCATTCGAAAAAAATAAACTCCTCCCTGAAAGAGTAACCAGACTTCTCATTCAGATGAACAAACAGTTGCCTGTGACGTTATGACAGATGGCACCCTAATTTGTCTAGTACTGAAAGACAGCAAGCAATGCGCCACTTTAGAAACGAGAAGGGACTGGGGACGCGGTGGTCAGCTATTGGCAAATTTTTCGCCGTTCCCAGACGTCTCTGCGAAAGTTAAACCAGCCGAGTTTCCTCTCGTTTCTAAAGTGGGGAATTTATGATATGGTGGCTCTATATAAATGAACGGCTGTTAACGTTTTTCATATCAGCTAACAGCGGAAATAAACCTTTAGTAATAAGAACAAGACGTTTAGATGGGGTACCTTTATGAGCCGAGTATTAGGTTTAACGGCCCTCTTTCTTATCGTCCTTACAGGGCGTGGAATCGTCTTAAAAAATGCAGACAACGTCGAAATAACGTCTGGAAAACTTAGTTTGTCACATATCACCATCTATGAAATCAGCAACCCTAGGAAAGGAACCTGGACCCTAACCGTGCCAGGTAGTAATGGTGATCATGAGTTCTCTGTCAAGTCAAGCAGCGACTCTAACTTAGATTTCGATCATTACTTCCTGATTACGCTTTCTTGGCGCAGACGGTCTACTGAAGTTCCCGTTTCGAATCCAGTTGTTGGTAAGCCAGTCTCATTTCTAGAAGTAGATAAAATATTCCGATCGCAGTTGTGGGAGAGGGCATGGTTTTGCCTTCCTTTTAACTTAACTGTTGTACTAGTCAGGCTTTCGATTCGGCGTTCAAGAGCCCAATATACGTCAAAGTGCTCTCCGAAAAAGTATCTTCGCATTGTTTTCACTTTTTGACTTAAATGTTAGAGGTTATTAACAGTTTCAACTGTTTATTAATTATCACAAATTTTACAGAAAGCAATATCCACTGCCCGCAGTTAGCAGGTTAGCTAGTCGAGGCGAGCAGTGGTTACACATATGTAATACATATATACAGACAGATCACAAGAAAGACTAGAGAAAAAGAGTAGTTAAATAAATAAACAAATAAATAAAAATAAATTCAGTTTAATTAAGTTTACAATCATGGACATTGCAAATATAAGAAGCCGAGTTTTCAGGAAATTTTTGTTATTAAGTCGGGTAAATCAATATAATCATTTTCTTCTGAAAGTATTCGGAGTAAAGTGTCGTGGACATTGATTTTAAAGTTATTTTTGGACATTTGACGCATTTCACACGGTAAACTATTCCAGATTTTTACACCATATCTTGAAAAAGACTTAGTTTGTTTGTCTAACCTTGAGTGTTTAACATAATAGTCACCTCTTGAAGATGATATTGTATTGTATGAATGAATATTAGATTGGGAAGCAAATAAGTTAGATATGTTAGTAGGTGTTAAGCTAAATGCTAAATGAAGAAGATGACCCTAAAAAAAGGTACCCTAAGTCCCCAATGGTAATCGAGCCATGAACTTTCAGTTACGGGTACAAAATTGATCTTTGGTTTGCCCCTTTTTGGATTTTGTTATTTTCTTAACCGAATACTTTCTTTTTTTCTTTTAGGCAAGTTAAACAAAATCATCATTTCTGTAGCTGGATCAGAAAAACTAGACAAAAGCTCCCTGCGACTACAACTCGTAACCACAGAGGGAAAATATATCAGTGACCTCACCCTTCAGCCCCAAGATCAAGGTCGTTTTCTGGTCGACTTTAATGCTCATGCACATGGCCAGCCATTTAAGCTTAAACTGAAGGGCATGACACAAAAAGGTTACCCTTTTGAAAGAATTTCCCATAAAATCCACAAAACAACTACGGCTATTCTAAGGGGAACTTACGCAAGTAATTATTACACCCTTACTTTGGGCAGAACCACATTTATTCGTTTTCAACTGTGCAACTTTGGGGCCACTGAAACTTTTGATTTTCTTGTCGCAAAGGACACGCGGCGTTATGTCTTTCGTCGTCGCCTGAGTCCCAAACGCGTAATAAAAGGCCGTTGCGTGTATATCTCTATTTTCGCCAAAGCTACTCGTTCTGAAGACGTTGGGAAGACAGATGCGGTTTTCATTATCCTCAAGGGTCGAATCTCAAGAACTGTTATCTCGGAGACAGTTCATCTGCTTGTTGACAATTAAAGCCATTTTTATTCGAAGTTAGCAATATTAGTCTCTAAACCATCAGTTTAAGTCAATCCCCAGCGGGGTGTCTTGAGGTTAACCGTTAAAACTTTTAGACGTTGGGTGTTAAAAAAGGAAATTTTAAACCTTTAGTCATTGCTTAGTCGTTAAAAAAAGTTAACCGTGAAAATGTTGCCTAGCCTAAATTTTCACTTAGAGAGTCAATACGTTCCTTGGCTGATGGGCCCTATTTCGGCCTTTTTTATCCTGGAAAGGTCACGACGTAGAGCTAGGCCTAAACCGATGGAAGTTTTTACTTTTTAAAAAAACAGTATATCTAATAGAGAGAAATTAACCGTTAGCAGTAGAAATGCCAGAATATTTACCGTTAACCGTGAATGCCTTGAGACCTTTAACCCCCTCTAAGACGTGCGACTTAGAGGGCGTCCATCTTATATAGAGTAGGAGCCCATAACCTGGAGCGCACAACTGCCATACTAGGGCTATGTCAGGGAGTTTTCACGGACCGGTATATTGAAGTATAGGATAATACCTTTTGCAGCTTTTTTAAGATCTCGTTGTGTTTTTAGACAGATTTTTATCGAACTACCATATTAGCATCATGGAAAGAATTTCACGCAACCTTTATTTGAACGTCTCTTTTTCACCAGTAGAGGCACATTAAAGAGCATCGATAGCAACTTAAAATAAAAATACTCAGTCAGCTGTAAAGTTCTGGCCCTGAGGAGGGCTAATTTTGTTAGCCGAAATATTCTAGGCCTATAATGAATCAGCCCTTTGCCGTAGTGCCAGCCCCGCATTCAGTTTTGTTTTAGTCATTAAATGTTTGCTGATTAAAAGTAAACTACAATAGTTTGTATAGGCTGAAATAAGCATCACAATAAATGATACAATTTATTTGATTAAATATGGTGTGCTTTTTGCTTATGGAGGGAGTAATAGGGAGGCCGGGGGGACTCCCATATGAAATGGGCGGGGTTGCTCGTCGGAAATTTTGAATGAAACCCGTAAAAAAGACCAATCTGGGCGTTGCCCAACCTTTCTTTGACCCTTAAAAAAGACCATTTAAAACTTTGATTACATGAATGGAGTAAATAAAATGAATTGAAAATATATCATTTTTTTAATATTTCTTCGCGTACATACAACCCTAAAAGAGACCTTTACGGCTTATTATAATGGCGTTTTGCTCAAAACACCCTAAGTGAGACCAAAATACAAAATTTATAGCCCTAAAAGAGACGAAGAGCATTTTCGCCCCTTTCATATGGGAACCCCCCGGGGGGGGGGGGGGTAGGGAGGCGGTGGCAAGAGTGGTGAAGGAACCGCTTTATCTCGTACCCAGATCTCACTCTGCTTTTCCCTTGGCCGTGGGAGATCTGGGTACGAGATTAGGAACCTTTAGCAGATAAAAGATAGCATGCACAAATATGGTACCGAAACATGCGCGTAAGAGGAATGCTATACGTGAGATTTCCCAGTTACAGTCACTCCTTCCCAGCTGTATACTAATTTTAATTCAATGTTATTTACCTATTTATTATGTTTCTTTTTATATATAGTAATTTCTGTAATTAATTATGTGTGGCAAACTAATAAAATAAAATAAAGAGAGGGGTGCGGCAGCTTATTCGAGGACAAGGCCGGCGTATCATTCGCGGAAACCCGACACGTTTTCCGAGATCATCTTCTGACCTGAAACGTTTTTTCCTGGCTCTCGTGTAAGCGTGAAGTAAAGTGAGCTGTATAATGCCTCTTGAGCTGATAAGGGCTTCTTACCTTACTTCCCTTTCAAAACAACAAGTGAAGTAAACAGTTCAAAGTTCCTTGCTCTGTCTCAGGATCGAGAAGTATCAGCTTTATTTCAAAGAAAATTACAGACCTCTAGTCACAACCAACCTGCCGATATGGAGAAACGAATTTTCTTCGCCTGGACTGTCACAGTTCTCCTTTCTTTGTTTTCTGCAAAACAGTCTTCCGGAAGCTTTTTTTCCTCTCTGCAGTTCACCCGCGATGCCCTGATGGATTTTTCGCGTGGTTCGCAACGAACAGTGGACATCACCCTAGAACGAAAGAAGACGATAACAGTGGTCAATAAAACCTACAGTTTTCGTGAAGCAAAAAGCGGTCCGGGACTTTTGATGGAATTAAAATCAAATAACAAAACGCTCACACCGGAAGCATTTTCAACAATACCATCTGAAGATGTTAAAAATTGGTTCGATCCGTCAATGAGAAAGGACTTGCCAAAACAACTATTGATTGCATCTCAGGTTTCAAAAGATGGTAAGGAGGAACCTTTAATACTCATCGCATTCAATAAAACAGTGGTCGAAAACCAGACGAAACGCGAAGTTTACAGACCACGAACTTCCCCGTCCAACAAATTTGTCAAAGTGATTAATGACATTGAACTAGCACAGACAAACGCATACGCCTCAGATGTAAGGTACAGCAGTGCAGCCTTAGCTAAACTGAAATTGGTTGTAGAGAGAGCCATACGGAGTAAGAGCTATAAATACGCGAGACAGGTAACGTAACACCAATTATTATTTCAAAATTAAAGTTAAGGAAAAGGACGTAAAGGAAGGGGAAGGAGTAAGACAGCGATTTCACCAAATGAATAGGGCTAACTTAATTCCGAAAGTCACACAGTGCGCAGTTACCTTACGAACATAATCTAGTCAGTTTACCGTTACAACATTACAGTAGTCGACTCGCTACCGTCGAACCTTGTGCTAACTCGAGCCGAAATGGAATTCCCCTGGATTTCCTTTATAAATGTACCGTAATTTTACCCTAGATAACTCGATCCATGTCCCCGCCGCTAACTCGAAGCAATGTTTTATTTATTTATTTATTTTTTTTGCTTCCCTTCAGATAGTTTCTGAATAATTTTACTTCAGGGTACTGCAGTCCGCAAAACTGAATTTCTTTCAAAACAACCGCGATTTCAAAGCACTCAGCCACAGTTCGCGGCAATTATCTTTAAGTGGGCCACTACGTTTTTTTTCCCAAGTAGCTTAATCCAGCTCTCAGAAACTTCTTTTTTCATTGGCCTTTGGAAAAAGACCTTTTGTCTTTTTGGATAGCGGCATTGTTTCGGTATTTCGCCTTTTGTTTTGTTAGCTGCTAGACAATTCGAACTTCGTGGTATCGGTGAGAAGAGCATGCCAACATGGTGGCATGAAGTCGTCGTTTGAAGTTAATCTTTTGTTGTCTCGTTTCCTTGCCCATTTAAGGCTTTCTTCTTGTTTACTTTATAGCCTTTTCTGCTACTAGAGAGGGCTGGCTGGTGCAAACTTCGGTAGTTTAAAACTTGTATTATGCAGTTTACAGATAATGCGATTAAGTTCACCACTCATGCGAGCGACTTCATCTTTACTTCCGTGTCAGTAACGAGGAGATATAACGGCTGTTTATTTACTTTTCTTGTTCGAACATATCTCAAGTATTATTTACATATTGAATTTCTTCACTGCGAAGAAAATACCATCAGTTTAACAATATGGGAAAGAGAATATTCTTCACCTGGGCCCTCACAACTCTCCTTTCGTTGTCTGCCAAACAATCCTCCGGAAGCTTTCTCTCTTCGCTACAATTCACCCGTGATGCGCTCATGGATTTTTCGCGTGGCTCGCAACGAACTGTGGACATCACCCTGGCATCGAAGATTACGACGAAGACGGTCAACAAAACATATAAAATGACACGTCCACTCCCAAATAGATATTCCCCGAAGTATAAACTTGTGGAAGTGAAAGGCATCAGCAAAAAGACAAGTAATGACACGAAGGAGGCCGACGTATTTTTAACAGTATCATCTGAACATATTAAACTTTTTTTAAATTCCTCAATACCATCGATGAGAAAGATGAAAGATAACTTACCAGAGCAAATACTTCTAGAAAATAATGCCATCGAGCCCCTGGTTATCATACCATTCAATGAAACAGTGATAGTCAATCAGACGAAACGCGAAGAGTACAAACCGCGTACTTCTCCATCGAACAAGTTTATGAAGGCCATCGGTGACATTGAACTAGCAGAGGCAAATGCAAACGCCTTAGGAGTCAAGTACAGCAATGCTACCCTGGCTAAACTAAAGAGTCTTGTTGAAAAGGCAATACAGAGCAAGAGCTTTATATATGCCAGACAGGTACGATAATTCGTGTATTATTTGCAAATAAGTTCGTAAAGGTCGGAGGCGGGCGAGAGGGTAGGAAAAAGAAGAGAGAGTTAATCATTTTACTGTCAGAAATAGAAAATTTTGTTGGGGGAAAGCCACGTAGTTTTCTTTCTTAAATTTGGCCAATTTCTTCAAAGGCTGTGCAAATAACAAGCGCAGGGGTATTTTACAAACATTCTGATGCAAGGCCGGATTGGACTAATGCCAAACGGTACCCGAAAATGTTACGTTTTCTATACTATGTGCATGTATTCCAGGTATTTCTATGTTCAGTGGCTGAATTTCCGCACATTTTAATAGAGCTGTTTGTTGCAAACGGTCGGTTGCAGTGCAGTACGAGATATGAGATCCTTGTTCAAGAAGTTTTCTCCTGATAGGAGGGAAATAGAGGGGTGCGGCAGCTTATTCGAGGACAAGATCGGCGTATCATTTGCGGAAATCCAGCACCTTTTCCCAGATCATCTTTTGACCTGAAACGTTTTCTCTTGGCTCTCGTGTAAGCGTGAAGTAAAGTGAGCCGTATAATGACTCTCGAGCTCGATGAGAGACGTTTTGGCTTACTTCCCGTTTTAGTGGCAAGTAAAGTAAACAGTTGCGCGGCAAAGTTCCTTGCTCTCTCCAAGGATAAGGCTGAGCTTTCTTTCAAAGAAAATTAAAGAACCCAGTACAGCCTGCTTGTCGATATGGAGAAACGAATTTTCTTCGCCTGGACCCTCATAGTTCTCCTTTCGTTGTTGGCTGCAGAACAATCTTCCGGGAGCTTTTTTTCCTCCCTGCAATTCACCCGTGATGCACTGATGGATTTTTCGCGTGGTTCCCAACGAACTGTGGAGATCAAGCTAGAGCCAAAGAAAACGACGAAAATGGTTAATAAAACGTATGAGCTGATAGCTGGTCAAGTAAATGACCTGCCAACACTTGTGGAAGTGAAAGAGAATAAAATCAAGACTGGTTTCCTTGACCGGGTCCCATCGGAAGATTACAAAGATTTGTTTGATCCTTCAATGAGAAAGCACTTGCCAAAGCAAATTCTAATGGCAACGCAGGTCAACACCAACGGCGATGTCGAAACCCTACTACGGGTCCCATTCAATAAAACAGTGGTTAAAAACCAGACAAAACACGAGGTGTACAGAATACGTGCTTCCCCGTCTAACAAATTTATGAAAGCAATTAATGAGATTGAATTAGCACAGACAAACGCCAACGCCTCAGATGTGAAGTATAGCAGTGCTGCCTTAGCTAAACTGAAAGTGCTTGTCGAGAGAGCCATACGGAGTAAGAGCTATAAATACGCGAGACAGGTAATAACATAACACCATTATTCTTTCGGAGTCAAGAAAATCGACCAAAGAGTCACTGAAGAGTATGGGGCGCACTGCAGAATTAAAGACTTTCCTGGTTTAGTGCAGCAACAAATGACGTATCGTAGGCTTCATAAAGTTCCATCTAATTTTGAGTAAAAATAGCGTTTTGGCGTAGGTCTTTACTCTGTAGAAAATTTTATCCGAAATGATTACACTGCTCAAACCTCCTATGTTATTCAAAGATGCAGCCATCCCATCGCTGGATTCGCAGTAAACTCAAATTTACAACTTCAATCGTCCTTTTATAAGAACCTTGGGGGATGCTGCCCTTCGAACACCCACCCCGCGTAAATTTTTCTCGGATTTTTGAAAACGATTTTTACCTATTAGTCTCTTCAGTGTCTCCATCTGGGCTTTGACAGACTCTTATTAAACTAGACAAGAATTCGTTGATTCACGTCTTACAAAGCTTGAGTTTTTCGGTTACTGACTACGGCTCGAACGCGTACATTCGTTTTGTGGGTTACTATTTTATGCCTGTCGGGTCACATAACATAAACACAAAAACTTTGGGGCGAAAAATTGCAAATCCTCTGCAATTTATAGATGTCAACATAACGGTTCAATGGTTAAATGCAATTGAAATGTATCCTCAAGTTTCAAGAGAATCTTTTTTTTAACACGTGAGCAGAGCATGCCACCATGGTGGCGTGAAGTTTGTCTTTGAAGTCAGTTAGGTTGTGTTATGTGTTTCCTTGCCCTCTTAAGGCTTTCTTCTACATTTTTTTATCGAGCAGCTCCTCCTACTGAATAGGGCCGTTGCAACCTTGTCTAGTTAAAAACTTTCGACGAAAATGTAATCAGTTCCCGACTCGTGTCAACGACCAAGCAGTGAGCCACTGGGAAATCTTTATATCTCTACTTCCTTGTCAGTGATGTGGGAAGAGATAACAACTGTTCATAAGCAAAAAGGTATCTTCATGTTAAATCGTTTCACTTCAAAAGTGAATACGTAAAGGCAATGAAAGAGGGAATTGTCTTCCGGGAGTTTTTTTTTCTTCGCGGCTACAGTTATTAAAACGGGGAACGGGGCAACGGGGACCGAGAACAAGCTCGTGGAACGACGTAATGAAAAATGGGGAAAAACTTATCTTAAACCCTAGTCCTATCAGTAACTTCATTGGCAATTCTCTGTTTTGTTCCCATTTTTTAATCTTCCCTTTACCCGCGCTCGTTCTCCCTTCCCCGTTTCCCGTTCCTCGTTTTAGTAACATCCCGCGCCAAAGGGCACCAAAAAATGTATACTTTATTACGACGGACAAATACCGGTTTTGTCTAAAAGAGTTTCTTTGGTAATGTATGGTAAGTGTTGGTCTCTTGTTCCCAAAGTAAGGAAACATTGCACTGCTTCTCTCAGTGTTATTAGTTTCCTTGACTAACGGTTTTGCAAAGCCAGTGGCACTGTGGAATCCGGGGAATTTTTGCTTTTGAAATCCAAAATCCTGCGCTTTGAAGTCCGGAATACAGCTCAAGGAATCCGGAATCCCATTAGAGATGGGAATCCGGAATCCACGTTCCACTGACATAGTACCTGGAATCCGAAATCCATGGCATGGAATCCAGAATCCAAGAATCCGGCCCTTACAGACCCTTACATGGGGTGGTCTTTTACTAATGAACTTCAAACACATTTCAGATCGTTGGACAGATCATGTATTTACTGAGCGCCAAGGCGGCACCATCTGATCGGACAAAGAGAAGCTCGAAAGGCGAGGGAAGTAAATTTCTTCAGGATCTCCGTCAAAAAGTCGGTGCTGCTACGTTCGATAGCTTCTTGGCTGTGCAAGGAGATGTGGCTCTGATGTTTGCTATAGATGATACCGGCAGCATGGGCGATGAAATCCTGGCCGCAAAGAACATTGCTGCTGATATTATCAATTATAAGAGGAAGGTTCCTATCAAGGAGTATATTTTATCTGCATTTAATGACCCATATCCAGGTTAGTAAATTTTTGTCTATTTTGTGGATTTTCTTCGTATTTTGGAAATTACTGTTGCTTCGTTGTTGTCGGATCATATATCAAACTCAACCTACTTTTGAAATGACTTCTGGGTTCAAACCTTTCACTATATCAATACTGTTCAACAGTATGCCATGTAGATTGTTAAGATCCATAGCCTGAGAAAAGGTTGAACAGCTGACATTTGGCGACGTTACCACTGGTTTTCCCGCCAAATGACGTCTGAGAAACGAGTGCAGAAATTCCACACTGATGACACGTCACTACCCAGATCTTGGGTAGTGCTCCTGATCGGTCGTGCCGCGTGGGAAATTTGATTCAACCAATCAGAAGCACTACCCAGATCTGGGTAGTGACGCTTCATCAGTATGGAATTTCTGCGCTCGTTTCTCAGACGTCATCCGGCGGGGAAACCAGTAGTGGCGTCGCCAAATGTCGCCGGATGTTTTCTCAGGCTAAAAGATCTATTAAAACTTTTACTGGATCTTTACTGACATGATAAAGATCGAAATTGAGGAGGTCTCCACCCTACTTTTTTAAGTCATGATGTCATCAAGAGTGGAGTAAAAAATTAAATAAAATAACTAAAATCCAAAGGAAAGTATTACTTGACGTTTTTTCCACGCCGTAGATTCCGGATTCCAGGTACTGGATTTCAGTCTTTGTCAGTGGAACGTGGATTCCGGATTCCTTGAGCTGTATTCCGGATTCCAGAGACCAGGATTCCACAAGCAAACATTTCGCGGATTTTTTATTCCGGAATCCGGATTCCCTTACCTGGGGCGAATGGGAGAGTTAAATGGTAGCTCTGCGCTTGTAGAGCTGAAAGAACTGATTTAATGAAAATTATATCGCATATATCACGTTGCCTTAATCAACCAGTTTATTACAAGTAAAGCAAAAGTAACATTTGATATTGTTCTTGAAACTAATGTGTCCACATCTTTCCCAGTTAATTATTCCTTTAGATAGAAAAAAAAAGTGAAACAAACGGTATGCTATTTGAATTGTGAACTTGAATACAGTTCCTTATTTTATAAACTTTTACTTTCTGGTAGATCCATCGAATGTAAATCCAGTGACTGTCAAACTTGAAGCTGAAGCTGGCGAGTTTGAACAAGAAATTAGGGGACTGAGGGCCCACGGTGGAGGTGACTGTCCAGAGTATACGTTTCACGGTATCCGAGAAGCACTTTTCAGACTAACTATCCCTCGTTCTCCTATGTACGTGTTCACTGACGCAGGACCTAAAGATGCAACTGCTCTGGACGTTGAGGAGGTGAAATTGATGGTCCAGGATTATAATGTTGTTGTCAATTTCTTGACAACAGGTATAGAGAAAGCGTAAAGTTTAGTTTTTGATAATGATTTTTATACGTTTAACCTGGCGCGTATTTCCTCTCCGGGTCTCTTCGATATACGATTGTTCACACTCTCCTATTTTATCGTAAGATTGTTAAGATCCAACAGAGAGCTTACCCGTACGCGCCGGTAGGGGCGGCCATCTTGGTTTCAAATGTACCGAAGGTGTGGGGGTCGGGGCTTATAGCAAACCATCCCTCGCCCCCTAAGTAGATTTGACACTCATCCAAGATGGCCTCCCGTAACCCAAAGTTTTCGATCTCAACGATCTTACGCCTAAAGGACTGTGAACAGTCGTAGTGAGAAAAATTAATCAATCCAGACCATCCGTGGCTAGTCAAGCACAGTTATTCAATACAGATCGTTTGCATATGACATCATGGCGGCCGTATTGGTGTGCAAAACAATGAAAAGGCGGCCATGAAGGTGTACGGAAAAAAACCCTGTGCAGGATTGAACTCTTTGCTCATGTAAAATCTGTCGTTGGTTCTAACAAATTTGCATTGCTGCTGGCACGTGAGTGAAAACGATCTATAAGACAAATAAGTTTTCAGTGTACTAGAGGAGCAATTCAGCAAAAGAAAGACCATTAATTTTGGCGTTTCCAAAACCCTGAGGCGATCGATGGAAGCGCTGATTTTACTCTGGGCGCAATGATGTAGTGCTATCCCTCCGGGGAGGGGAGGACACTCAAGGGACGTTTATAACATCTACAGGGTCTCGGTACACGAAGTAGGAGCAAAGAATTGGCTCTGCGTAGCCTGCGTAGCCTGCCTAACAGGCGCTTGGAAGTAGTGGGCGCAAGAAAAAACGGGCGCGCGAGAGGGAGACCGCGCGCCCGTTCTTTCTTGGGCCCACTACATCCAAGCGCCTGCTACGAAGGCTAGGCTCTGCAATGCCGACAGGGTGAGTGGACTTAATCTCCACCCTTGAAATAATCTTGTCTACGTTTGCCGCTTTACCATACCATTTAGTCGAATTTAGTCTGAATTTAAACTTGTTACTAAATCGTTTTCAAGGTTATTGTAATGCCACACTAAAGTACAGCGTGTCGGGTAATCCAAAAAATCTTCACCAAGCCTTCAAAGATCTGGCAAAGAGCACTTCTGGTCTAGCCATTATGTTTAACAACAAGGGGGAACTGGAGCAAGTGACCAATTTGACAATCGGGACACTTGAGGGTGATAGTATCGTGGGCGATGGATCAACCATGAGACGAAGAACAAAAAGGAGCGCTGATGGATCTTCAGTCAGTCGATATAATATTCCCGTTGATGACTCTATGGAAAAAATGTCTGTGACCATTAATACCGCGGCAGGAGGTACGATATGTAAGCTTTACCGAATTTCAAAGTTAGGGCGATTGTCCATTTGATGCTAGGGCAGAAGTGACTGGCTTTAGTTATTCCAAAGTAAAGATACACGGGAAGATATTTGTATAGCCAAAACACTCAAACCATGGGGATTTTGGAGACTTTTTGGAACCCTACACTGTCAATGACTGGGACAAGAACTGAACTTCATTGAGTCGTGTAAGGGGAAACGTGTATCTCATAAGAGGAAACGTGTAACGGCATTCAGTGCTCGTGAATATTCATATTCTAAGTACTATATTTGGAAACCCTCGCTGCGACGTCAAAAAGCCGGTTTAACAACAACTTTTGCACGTGCATCACTCTTTTTTGTTCATTTCTTTGCCATCACTGCAAGACTACGACATGATAGTGCCTATAATTTCACGTTTTCAGCGTTTTGTGGAAGACAAAAACACAAGACAGTGACTTTCTTTTTCTTTTCCTGAACTTTAATAGGCAGTCTTTAGAATTCAACCGCAGAAAAATTTGCTCGGGTACTTTTGAAAATGAATTTTCACGAGTTTTGGGTGAGAGTTACACGTTTCAACGCGTTATGAGTTTCTGATACTGCTTACTCCCAGAGTGAGAAATGAGTCTTATAAGATGGCCCTAACTTGGAAATGGAAACTCTAGAAATGCAGCCGCCCCTCACTGACCCTCGGCGCGGTGACGTCCCAGCGATGTGAAGGAATAAGAGGCGGCTGTGTTCGCAAGCTATAACTTTTGAGCCTGTGTATGAAATCCTATGGTAGAACCATTCACTCCGGCAAATGAAACCCCGTCGTTTAGTTTTAATTAGTACTTTCACTTGGTACAATTTATTAGGTGTGCAGTTCTATCATTTGAATTTGGACGTGCACCATTCCAACCTCGTCCCCAGGGCTTTTCCCTTAAAAAATGGGATAGTCTTGTTATTACGAAACCACTTTTTAAGGGAAAAGCCCTAGGGACGAGGTTGGCACCATTCAAGTAACACCTCTTCAGCAGTGCTCCCGATAACTCGAACCTTCCGGGGAAATAGAAAAAAGTTCGAGTTATCGGGAGTTAGAAGCAAATAGTGACCAGAAACAAGGAAGGTAAGGAAATGAGATGGGAAGAGAAACGGACTTCACCTCAACGGCAGCAAGAGATATACAACTTGTATTGATATTTTGAAAAAGGAACTAAGCAAAAAAAGTTTGATTCATAATTAAAATCAAGTAAAGACAAAGAATATACGGCTGTTTTGAGATAAATTCAATGCATCGGACTACCATAGACTGTTTTTCCTTACAAAAATCAATAAAAAAGAACCAGTGCATAAGTTAGTGATAAAATTCAATTTTTGTGCCCCTTACAGCAGGTCACGATATTACCTTACAAGACCCGGAAAATGTGGAAATAACGTCAGGAAAACTTAGTCTGTCATATATCACCATCTACGAAATCACCAATCCAAAGAGAGGAACCTGGACCCTAACGGCTCCTGGCAAGAATGGTGATCATGAGTTCTCTGTCAAGACAAGCAGCGACACTAACGTAGATTTCGAACATTACTTTCTAATTGCACTGTCTTGGCGCAGGGGACACAATGCTGACGTTCCCATTTCAAATCCAGTTACTGGTAAGTCAGTCACGTTTACTGTATCCAAGAATTATGATATGGCTACGATAGTAAGCGCGCTCTAATTGGCTGCCAAGCCAAGATTTTCTTGTAATGAACGGGCATTATTAGCCTCTAAGTCTCCAAGGCATATACAATCTGTGTTTTTAACACAAAACTTGATAGTGGACATCCATATTATGGTCAGTTGACAGCCTCGGCCTTAATGTATTGTCCTCGGTATCGTTCGGTCAATACACCAGGGCCTTGGTCTGAGATTTCCCTGTAATGACCTCACTCTCGGTTAATAAGTAGTATTTACATGATGAATTAAAAACTTGTCAGATTCTTGCTGCTGGGGTGTGGCATTAAAATTTCTTTGACTGTTTTCGAAAGGTGAACTATTCAATCTTAATTTCCGGTTATCCAGTACACAAAATGCGTTCTGAATTACATCAAATATCCTTTTTATTTCCAGTGTTAAGGAATAATGCTGAACGTTGTTTATGGCTCAAAAAAAGGAATTCCAAGTTCATAACATAAGCAGCCAACCGATCGATGATCTTTCAAACGAGAAAATTAATCGGTTGAAACGTTCGGACGTACTCGTGAACTTTGAGGAATCCTGTGGGTAGCACCGTTCGACAGTTAAGTTTAATCTCGTACATTCGCTTTTATTGTAGGCAAGTTGAACAAAATCATAATCACAGTGGCTGGATCAGAAAAACTAAACAGCAGTTCCCTTCTACTCCAGCTCATATCCACAGAAGGAAACCTCATCAGTGACTTCGCCCTTCAGCCACAAAGCCAAGGTCATTTCATTGCCAGCTTTAATCCTCACGCACTTGTCCCGTCTTTCAAACTTAAGCTAAAAGGAGTCACACAAAATGGTTACCATTTTGAAAGAATTTCCCGAAAAACCGCCAGGCCAACTACGGCTGTTTTAAGGGTCAAGTATGCAAGCAATCTTTACACTCTTCCTCTGGGAAGAACCACCTTCATCCACTTCCTGGTATGCAACTTTGGGGCTACTGAAATATTTCATATCGAAGTCCTAAAGGACAGACTGGGCTATATCGTTCGACGAGGTCGTCATCGAAACCCTAAACAACGTAAAGCTGGTAAACTAGTGATAAAAGGCCGCTGTGTAGTTTTCTCTGTTTACGCAAAGGCTACTCGTTCTGAGGATGTGGGAAAGACAGATCCCATTTATTTCATCCTTAAGGGTCAAAAATCAAAAGTTGTTATCTCCCAGACCGTTCATTTGCTTGTTGACAATTAAAGCATTTTCCAGTCGAAGTGTTAAAAAACCAAACGTTGTTACTCTCAAACCTATTACGACATATACTTATATACTCATACAGCATGAACTAATAAAACCTCTAACATAGGGATGCTTAGTTTCTAACCACTAAGTGGGAACAACCTTCTGTGCTAGGAATTTTCATGATTTCAGTTCACTGTTTGATTGATTTAAAAAGTAAGTAAACGCTTTTTTAGCATTAAACGAGAAGAATTAGAAGTAACGTTATTCGACGTCTTGATGTATCCAACATGATTGGGTATCAAGAATGATAAAAAAAAAGCGAAGCTAGTTTTCTGTTAGTATGTTTGCATAAAAAGCAAGGACACACGAATGCCATCTAATAAAGTTGGATACATCGAAACATAGCGGAATAACGTTACTTCTCAATTTTCTTCCACTAATTGTTGTCGGAAAATTAACTATTCTGTGCGCATGCGTACTACTGATGCTCGATTTCCAGCCAGTTGAGACTCGTTTGATTGATACCGATCTGCATCCGCCTCCCACAAGAGGGCCGGGACGCGGACGCACAAGACGGCTAGCTGCCAGCCTTCGTAATAGCCTGCAGGAGCATCTGGTTTTTTCGGCTCTAGTTTCACCCGCCGAGAAAAACCGACATTATTTTCCGGAGGGAGAGAAGCGACGACCGGAATAAGTCTGCAGTTCGGAGGCTACTTTGTAGAAGTATAGGCAGAAACTCAATTCGTTCTACCAAAATCACGTCGGACACCTTATGACATGTCTGCTCAAAGAAATTCTCTATAGTGGAAGGGCGCCTTGACTATGGTAATTAGGGATAAGCACTGACTTGACTATGGTGATTAGGCTTAAGCACTGACTTTGCTGCGATTAGCGGGTTAAAGCAGTGAAAATAGTGATAAGAGCAATGACTTGAGAGTGAGCACTGAGAATAGCTGTGATTAGGGCTACGCACTCTCTCGGAATGGTGCTTTCATTTGCCGTAAACGTTTGTCTGTAAATCAAAACGGCCTTGACCAGCAAAGCCACCATGTTGTAGCAGTATGGGCAATGTAGCAGTATACCCCCTCCACCCGGGATTGACTCCGATAATGCCGACATCAAACGCTTCTTGACATTTTTTCTTCTAAAAAGTGAGAAGGAACGATCACTTTGGAGAATAGAAACGAGTGACAACCTTGAAAGTACTGAGTTTACGTAGCCAGGTTACATATTCTGCGGTTTACGCACTGCATTGAATTATTTCAATAAAGCTGCTATAAATCCTAATATAATGAGCAACGAACCTCGGCCAAAGAAAGTAAAAGTTCTTTTATTTTAGTTCCTTAATTTTCATATATATCAGCTACTAACAAAAAGGCAATACTGTCATCTCCAATTGGAAGATAAAGTTTGTTCAGGAGCCAATTACTGGTTTGTCTTTTTTAAAGTTTGTAAGATTAATTTTTCAAGTGTTTGAGAATAAAGGTTTTTTCTTTCTTATCTCTTTTTTAATTTTTGGTCATCAATAAAGAGCCTTGTCCCCAACTCGCTGCTCTTGAAGCGGGGAATGACTTCGCACTCGGGTGGAAAAATTGTCAGAAGACAGTTATCATTTAACTTAAAAGGATTATTAGGTAATCTATCATGAGCAGACCTCATACCTTAGATAATCTCTCTTTAATTCAAGTAAAAGTAAGTTTAAGTAAAAACCTGACAGGAAAATCCTATTTTCTTAAAACGTTATATTTCAGCTTCTTTCCGTTCTGACATCCTTTTTAAAGCCCTTTTAGATACCCAATAATAATAACGAAACTGATTTGCCTCCAAAGTGGTGACATCATTTTCCAAGCAAAAATGTTTAGATCCAGTGAAAAACATGAAGTAAATTTGTTGAACTGGCGAGCACCTGACCGCTTTATTTGTACCATAAAAAACGCATTGTAATCAAGGAAAACTCAGCGGAGATAATAATGCTGTTTTCTTTAAAATTACCCTACCATTCCGCCTGAACTGTAAGCTAAGTGCTTGTCTTTGGTATTCACAATCAGAATGCAAAAGGTTGCAACTTGAAATAACTGGGCAAGCTTTTCAAGTTCAATTCTTCCGCCGTTGTGCTATTGAAACGTATTAAAAATCGAAGAGTCTTTGTTTTAATTTTTAAGACATTTGCATCATATCTTTCAGAGTCCCTAATACCGGAAAAAAACTCGCAGGGGGAACTATGTGGCTCAGTTTTGACTCAAATTAAAACGTGTAACGCACCATGACTCAGTAGCTGTGACCCCCAAAAAAAAAAAAAAAACTGTGAAAATGAAAAGATAAGAGAACCACTACGAGAACTAGATGGCGGTATAGAGTTCGTTATCTCGGCAGTGGCAGGTCTAGGAGAGGGATAAGGGGCCTGGGGCCCCACATTATCTTAGGCTCGCAGCCCCTAAAATGATAATTTTTATAAGCGCCCCCTCCCCTTCCATTTATCTCAACTCAACGAGGAAGGACGTCCCTGCTGTTAACATGACAGGTTGGAGGCCTTAGTCCAGCAGCCAGGAGGGAGGAAGGCGTGTCTATTCTTTTCAGGTATTTGTCTGTGACCAGAAACCCACTGAGTGGTTGAATCAACTCCTTATGGGTTTCCGCTGTAACCGAGTCATCACTGAGCTATCCCGGCCCCTCCCGTGTAAGCGTGAAGTAAAGTGAGCCAGTGTATAATGTCTCTTGAGCTGATAAGGACTTTTAACCTTACTTCCCTTTCAAAACAACAAGTGAAGTAAACAGTTCAAAGTTCCTTGCTCTGTCTCAGGATCGAGAAGTATCAGCTTTCTTTCAAAGAAAATTACAGGCCTTACAGGCAACTTGCCGATATGGAGAAACGAATTTTCTTCACCTGGACCGTCACAGTTCTCTTTTCTTTGTTTTTTGCAAAACAGTCTTCCGGAAGCTTTTTTTCCTCTCTGCAATTCACCCGCGATGCCCTGATGGATTTTTCGCGTGGTTCGCAACGAACAGTGGACATCACCCTAGAACCAAAAAAGACGATAAAAGTGGTCAATAAAACGTACATTATGCCGACGGGTGATCAACGAAAAAGCGATTCGAAGCTTGTGGAACTGAAAGGAAGTAACAAAACGATCAGACTGGGTGCATTTTCAACAACACCATCTGAAGATATTAAAGATTGGTTCGATCCGTCAATGAGAAAGGACTTGCCAAAACAACTATTGATGGCAATGTGGGTTTCAAAAAATGGTATGAAGGAACCTTTAGTACTCGTCCCATTCAATAAAACAGTGGTCAAAAACCAGACGAAACGCGAAGTTTACAGACCACGAACTTCCCCGTCCAACAAATTTGTCAAAGCGATTAATGACATTGAACTAGCGCAGACAAACGCATACGCCTCAAGTGTAAAGTACAGCAGTGCTGCCTTAGCTAAACTGAAATTGGTTGTTGAGAGAGCCATACGGAGTAAGAGCTATAAATACGCGAGACAGGTAACGTTACACCAATTATTATTTCAAAATTAAAGTTAAGGAAAAGGACGTAAAGGAAGGGGAAGGAGTAAGACAGCGATTTCATCAAATGAATTATAAGGGCTGACTTAATTCCGAAAGTCACGCAGTGCGCAGTTACCATACGAAAATAATCTAGTCAGTTTACGGTTACAAGATTACAGTAGTCGACTCGCTACCTCGACCCTCGTGCTAACTCGAGTCGAAATCGATTTCCCCTGGATTTCCTTTATACATGTACTGTAATTTTACCCTCGATAACTCGATCCATGTCCCGGTCACTAACTCGAAGCCTTTTTTTTTTTTTTTTTTTTTTTTGCTTCCCTTCAGATAGTTTCTGAATAATTTTACTTCAGGGTACTGCAGTCCGCAAAACTAAATTTAATTCAAAACAACCGTGAGTTTAAAGCACTCAGCCACAGTTCGCGACAATTATCTTTAAGTGGGCCACTGCGGTTTTTTTTTCCCTAAGTAGCTTAATCCAGCTCTCAGAAACTTCGTTTTTCATTGGCCTTTGGAAAAAGACCTTTTGTCTTTTTGGATAGCGGCATTGTTATCGGTGAGAAGAGCATGCCAATAAATTGGTGGCATGAAGTTGTCGTTTGAAGTTAATCTTTTGTTGTCTCGTTTCCTTGCCCATTTAAAGCTTTCTTCTTATTTACTTTCTAGCCTTTTCTGCTGCTAGAGAGGGCTGGTGCAAACTTCTGTAGTTTAAAACTTGTATTATGCAGTTTGCAGAAAATGCGATTAAGTTCATCACTCATGCGAGCGACTTCATCTTTACTTCCGTGTCAGTGACAAGAGGAGATATAACGGCTGTTTATTTACTTTTCTCGTTCGAACATATCTCAAGTATTATTTACATATTGAATTTCTTCACTGCGAAGAAAATACCATCAGTTCAACAATATGGGAAAAAGAATGTTCTTCACCTGGGCCCTCACAACTCTCCTTTCGTTGTTGTCTGCCAAACAATCCTCCGGGAGCTTTCTCTCTTCGCTGCAATTCACCCGTGATGCGCTCATGGATTTTTCGCGTGGCTCGCAACGAACTGTGGACATCACCCTGACATCAAAGACTACAACGAAGACGGTCAACAAAACATATAAAATGACATTTTCACGCCCAAACAGATATTCCTCGAAGTATAAACTTGTGGAAGTGAAAGGCATCAACAAAAAGACAAGTAATGACACGAAGGAGCCCGACCTATTTTCAACAGTATCATCCGAACGTATTAAACATTTGTTAGATTCCTCAATACCTTCGATGCGAAAGATGAAAGATAACTTACCAAAGCAAATACTTCTAGAAAATGATGCCATCGAGCCCCTGGTTATCATGCCATTAAATGAAACAGTGATAGTCAATCAGACGAAACGCGAAGAGTACAAACCGCGTACTTCTCCATCGAACAAGTTTATGAAGGCCATCGGTGACATTGAACTAGCAGAGGCAAATGCAAACGCCTCAGGAGTCAAGTACAGCAATGCTACCCTGGCTAAACTAAAGAGTCTTGTTGAAAAGGCAATACAGAGCAAGAGCTTTATATACGCCAGACAGGTAGGATAATTCGTGTATTATTTGCAGATAAGTTCGTAAAGGTCGGAGGCAGACGAGAGGGTAGGAAAAAGAAGAGAGAGTGAGAAACTTCTGTTTTGGTAAGACCCGTTATTAATCATTTTACTGTCAGAAAGAAAACATTTTGTAGGGGGAAAGCCACGTAGGTTTCTTTCTTAAATTTGGCCAATTTTTTCAAAGGCTGTGCAAATAAGAGCGCGCAGGGGTGTTTTACAAACATTCTGATGCAAGGCCGGATTGGACTAATGCCAACTGGTATAAGGACCCGCAAATGTTACGTTTTCTATACAAGTGCATGTATTCCAGGTATTTCTATGTTCAGTGGCTGAATTTCCGCACATTTTAACAGAGCTGTTTGTTGCAAACAGCTGGTTGCAGTTGTACGAGATATGAGATCCTTGTTCAAGAAGTTTTCTCCTGATAGGAGGGAAATAGAGGGGTGCGGCAGCTTATTCGAGGGCAAGGCCAGCGTATCATTTAGCGGAAATCCGGGGGGGTACTTTAGGAATTTCTGGGTGGGGATGTGCCACTGGGACCCTGGAACCCTTAACCTATACCAGAGCTAGTTCAGCTGAATTTTGCTACCCCATACTAGAGTAAACTCCCCAAATCCCCCCTGAGGTCACTAGCACAGTCTAGCCAAAACAAAACCTTATACCACAATCCCTAGTCTAGATAAAATCTTCAACCAACTGATCAGTTCCCTAAAAAATGATACCCTATTCTAGACCCAAACGCTCTAATTAATATACCCTATCCTAGAGTAAACTGCTTGAAAACCATACAGCGGCACATACCTATATAGCCCATATATGGCAGTACCCCACCCCCCCCCCCCTACGCCCAGGCCGGAAATCCGGCACCTTTTCCCAGATAAGCTTCTGACCTGAAACGTTTTTTCTTGGCTTACATGTAAGCTTGAAGTAAGGTAAGCTGTATGATGACTCTCGTAACAAGTAAAGTAAACAGTTCAAAGTTTTTCGCTCTCTCCCAGTATAACTAAGGCATTCATAGCATGAACGTGTGCGGAAATCCATTAACAACTTTTACCATAGATCAAGTTGGTGAAATTCGGTTTCAGCGACAAGCGAACTCTTTTTGTTCAGAGCGAACGTGCTGAGGTGACTTTTCTGCTTATCATTATTTTTTTTTTTTTCGGGCATCAACTGTCAGTGAAGAAAACAGTTTATTGTTCCCTGTTCGCTGTCGAGATGTGCATATAAGAGAAGTTCCACTTTAAGAGATACAGGTTATTACAAAGATAAGTACCTTGAGGACAGAGCAGCCGATATGGAGACACAAATTTTCTTCGCCTGGTCCCTCATTATCACAGTTCTCCTTTCACTGTTGTCAGCAGAACAATCCTCCGGGAGCTTTTTTTCCTCGCTGCAATTCACCCGTGATGCACTGATGGATTTTTCGCGTGGTTCCCAACGAACTGTGGAGATCAAGCTAGAACCAAAAAAAACGACGAAAATGGTCAATAAAACGTATCAACTGATAGCTGGTCAGAAGGAATCGGGCGGACCAACACTTGTGGAAGTAAAAGAAAGTGAAAATAATACTGGTTCAACTGACTGGTTTTCAACACTCTCATCGGAAGGCGTCAAAGATTTGTTTGATCCTTCAATGAGGAAGCACGTGCCAAAGCAAATTCTAGTGACAACGCAGGTTAACAGCAAAGGCGATGTCAAAACCCTACTATTCGTCCCATTCAATAAAACAGTGGTTAAAAACCAGACGAAACACGAAGTTTACAGAACACGTACTTCCCCGTCTAACAAATTTATGAAAGCAATTAATGACATTGAACTAGCACAGACAAACGCCAACGCCTCAGATGTGAAGTACAGCAGTGCTGCCTTAGCTAAACTGAAAGTGCTTGTCGAGAGAGCCATACGGAGTAAGAGCTATAAATACGCGAGACAGGTAACGAAACACCATGTTCCTTTCGGAAAATGTCGGGACCTAAGAGTCACCGGACAGTATGGGGAGCACTGTAGATTTAAAGACATTCCTGGTTTAGTGCAGCAACAAAATGACGTCAAGAGTATCGTGAGCCATGTCATAAACTTCCATCCAGTTTTGAGTGATAATATAGCTTGTTCCTCTTTACTGTGTAGAAAACTATATCAAGAATTTTAATGATTACCCCCAGTGCTAAAAACCTCTTATCTTATTCAAAGTTGCGGCCATCCCATCGTTGAATTTCACAGTCAACTAAAAAACATTTAAAAAAATGCAAATCGTCTGAAGTTTATAGATGTCCGAGAACATAACAGTTCAATGGCTTAATGCAATTTGGAATGGTATCCTCAAATTTCAAGAGATTTTTTTCTTTAACACGTGAGCAGGGCATGCCACCATGGTGGCGTGAAGTTTGTCTTTGAGATTTACGTTGTGTTGAGTGTTTCTTTGCCCTCTTAAGGCTTTTATCGAGCAGATCCTGCTACTAAACAGAGCCGTTGCAACCGTACCTTCTCTAGTTAAAATTGTTTGACGAAAATTACCCTGCGAGCCCGCTAGCACTGTTTCTCTCAGTGTTATTAGTTTCCTTGACTCAAAGTCATTGGCAAAGTGGAATACGGCAAATGTTTGCTTTCGGAATCCAAAATCCTGGGCTTTGAAGTCTGTAATACAGCTCAAGGAATCCGGAATCCACTGGAGATTGAAATCCGAAATCCACGTTTCACTGACAAAGAATCGGAAATTCAGTACCTGGAATCCGAAATCCATTGCGTGGAATCCAGAATCCAAAATTCCCTTACAGACCTTTACATGGGGCAGCCTTTTACTAATGAACTTCAAACACATTTCAGATCGTTGGACAGATCATGTATTTACTGAGCGCCAAGGCGGCACCGTCGGATCGGACAAAGAGAAGCTCGAAAGGCGAGGGAAGTAAATTTCTTCAGGATCTCCGTCAAAAAGTCGGTGCTGCTACGTTCGATAGCTTCTTGGCTGTGCAAGGAGATGTGGCTCTGATGTTTGCTATAGATGATACCGGCAGCATGGGTGATGAAATCCTGGCCGCAAAGAACATTGCTGCTGATATTATCAATTATAAGAGGAAGGTTCCTATCAAGGAGTATATTTTGTCAGCATTTAATGACCCATATCCAGGTTAGTAAATTTTTGTCTATTTTGTGGATTTTGTTGGTATTTTGGAAATTACTGTTGCTTCGTTGTTGTGGGATCATGTATATCAATACTGTTCGGCAATATGCCATATAGATCATAAAGATCCACAGCCTGAGAAGAGGGTCTCAATGGGGTGGTGGCTTTTACGGTTATCGGCTAAAATTTTGGCTGTTTTACGGCAATCGGTTAATTTTTTTCAGTTACGGTTAACAAAAAAGTTAAAAATTAACTTCTTTTGTTTCAAAAAAGTTAAATATTAATTAATCTGTATTTTTGTATCTTTAAATCAAAATAAAGGTCTTCGGATCATCTCGGGATGAAACAAGCTATTCTTTTCAAAAATTTTAACATCCGATTGATCATACCTTTCATAAAGTATTTCACTTCTAATATTATTTTACGCATAGAAATGTCAATAGTAAATTTAAAAATAATCTTTGTGAAAAAGCAAAAGCGGACACGCAAACGCCCAAACTCAAGGCCGGGCCGCGACATTTATTATAACAGAAATGGCCGTTTTCACACTAGAGACGGATTATTCGTGTGACACGGGTTATCCGTTTGATGATCTGCGTCAGATAGGTAATACTTCTTAATTTGAAAATGGAATGGTTTTAATTTTGAATGAACAATCCACCCGACTTTATCCGTCAATTTTGACAGACAGTTTGAAGACGGGATTATCCGTTCCAGATACGCCTGTAGGTAGGTACGCCTGTCCCCTACCCTCAGAAAAAAATCGGAGAAGGAGTGTCTGTGGGGAGGGTGCGACTGTACGCAGGCCAGTCTCAGACGGATAATCCATTTCTAGCTCTAGCGTGAAAACGGCCAATAACAAAATTCCCGTGTCCAGTGTTTTTAATGATAGCGAAGGACTGTACGGAACGACTGTCTGCCGTTGCCTTGTCCGTAGGCCTCATTATTCCGCGCAGCTAATGCGTTTCGGGTCACGTGGTCCTAGCGCGTTCGCCACCCAAATGCCTTGACCGAGATTGCGTGGGAAGTAGCGTCAGAGAAAAACAGGGAAATGTTGTTTATCGGCGACGTGTTTTACAAACAGTGACATCTCTGCGAGTTGTTCACTAGTGTTTCGAGGGCACGACCTCCTAAAAATCGCAAATGTTCTTCCCTAGCAAAAAGCCACACTTTCGCTCTGGAAAAAATTAGTTCCCCGAGAGAGTGGCGGAAATGGAGCCTTGGTCTTGGTCAACACCTAAAAGGCGCTTCGCCTAACGTGCGTACGGAGTCACACTAGCCGGGAAATAAAACGCAACCATAATTGAGTTTAGTACCTCCCGTAAAAGTATAAAATCTAGGAAACAGTTTCTTTTACGGTTAACTGTTTTTTTACTCTATTTACGGCTAACGGTTAAAATTTTTCAATTTTTACGGCTATCGACTAAATTTTTGGCCGTTTTACGCCTATCGGTTAACCCCATTGAGACCCTCTGAGAAAAGGTTGAACAGCTGACATTTGGCGACGCTGCCACTGGTTTCCCCGCCAAATGACGTCTGAGAAACGAGTGCAGAAATTCCATACTGATGACGCTTCACTACCCAGATCTGGGTGGTGCTTCTGATAGTGATGCGTCATCAGTATGGAATTTCTGCGCTCGTTTCTCAGACGTCATTTGGTGGGGAAACCAGTGGTAGCGTCACCAAATGTCAGCTGTTTTCTCAGGCTAAAAGACCCATTAAAACTCTTACTGGATCTAATGTTAAACAAACGATATGCCATTTGAATTATGAACCTGAATACAGTTCCTTATTTTGTAAACTTTTACTTTCTGGTAGATCCATCGAATGAAAATCCAGTGACTGTCAAATTTGAAACTGAAGCTGGAGAGTTTGAAAGAGAAATCAGGAGACTGAGGGCCCATGGTGGAGGTGACTGCCCAGAGTATACGTTCCACGGTATCCGAGAAGCACTTGCCAGACTAAGTATCCCTCGTTCTCCTATGTACGTGTTTACTGACGCAGGACCTAAAGATGCAACTGATCTGGACATTGAGCAGGTGAAATTGATGGTCGAGAATGATGATGTTGTTGTCAATTTCCTGACAACAGGTAAAGAGAAAGCGTAAAGTTTAAGTTTTGATAATGATTTTTATACGTTTAACCTGGCAGGGTTTCCTCTCTGGCTCTCCTCGAAGAATGTTCAGTCTCCCCTTCTTTTTTCGTAAGATCGTCAGGATTGAGCAGAGAGCTTACAAAAGCAAAAACTACCGGTATGGGCCGGTAGTTGCGGCCATCTTGGTTTCATGTACCGAGGGTGCGGGCGTCGGGGTTTATAGCAAACCGTTAAATTTAATAAATAGCTTAACAGAGAAGATTGTAATTTTAAATTATTTGGAAAACAGTCGATGTACCAGCTGGGTATAAGACCCCAAATAAATATTGTCTTGTCTTGTCTTGTCTTGCCTTGTCCCTCGATAAAGCTAGAAAATGAATGTTGAGCCCCGTGCCTTTCCTGTCATCTTTTTTTGTTGTTGTTTTTTTTTTTGTTTTGCCTAAGTAAGGGAGTCCATTCCACCTGTCAAGCTCCACATCGAGACCAAGGTGGGATGGCGTTATACTACGCTTACCCGTTGGGTATAGTGATTAATCCTGATATTTTGACTGCCTACTAGGGGTAGGTATTTTAAAAATTTGGTACCAGCACTTGACGGCACCTTAATTTGTGCTTGGATGAACCAGTGTCTCATCCAAGCAAGAGTCGCTCATTCAACCCCTCACTCCCCCCCCCTAGCTGATTCAAGCGGATTTCACACTGCGAGCAGAGGCTCGTTTTGTCTTCTCCCTGACCGCGCTGAAATCGAGCAAGTGGAACAAAGAGGCATTTACTTTGTGCACCCGGCACAGGTGACGTAAAACAAAAGAACAAAAACCAGGAAATAATACCACGCAGAGTTTTCCCTGAACAGAAAACAAAGAGGTCTTTTGTTTTACGTCATCTGTGCCCCGGGTACACGAAGTAAAAGCAAACGAAGGCTCTGCGGTGTTGACAGGGTGAGTGGGCTCAAGCTCCACCCTTGCAGCTTTACCATACCATTTATTCGAGCTGAGTCTGAATTTAAACTTGTAACTAAATCATTTTCAAGGTTATTGTAATGCCACGGTAAAGTACAGCGTGCCGGGTAATCCAAAAAATATTCACCAAGCCTTCAAAGATCTGGCAAAGAGCACTTCTGGTCTAGCAATTATGTTTAACAACGTTGGGGAACTGGAACAAGTGGCCAATTTGACAATCGGGACATTGGAGGGTGATAGTATCGTGGGAGATGGATCAACCATGAGACGAAGAACAAAAAGGAGCGCTGATGGATATTCTGTCAGTCGATATAATATTCCCGTTGATGACTCTATGGAAAAAATGTCTGTGACCATTAATACCGCCGAAGGAGGTACGATAAGCTTACGGAATATGAATGTGTAGAAAAATCATTTGCTCGAACTGAGAATATCAACGTTAGGGTGATTGTCCCTTAGATGGTAGGGCAGAAGTGACTCGGGCTTATTCCGAAGTAAAAATACACAAGAACATATTTATATAGCCAAACCATTCAAACCATCTGGATTTTGGAGACTTTCTGGAACGCTTCACTGTCAATAAAGACAAGAACTGAACTTCATTTACATAGTGCTTAACTCTTACTCTAACTTTAACTCCCAGAGCGAGAGATGAGTCTTGAAAGATGGCTCTAACTTTTGACCCTACAAATGCAGCCGCCCTTTACTGATCCTCGTCGCGGTGAGCAGTACTCTCAGATCACGTGTTACCATTTGCTTTGAATGCAATTTCGAGTTTTCTTCGGGTTTTGACTTTGGCCGCTTACGAAGGGTGAAAGGGTAATAAATAGGCTTTTGATATAATGACAATGAAAGACCTGTAACAGAGAGAAATCAATAAAAAGGAACCAGTGTATAAGTTAGTGTTAAAATTCAATTTTTGTCTCCCCTTACAGCAGGTCACGTGATTACCTTACAAGACCCGGAAAATGTGAAAATAACGTCAGGAAAACTTAGTCTGTCATACATCACCATCTACGAAATCACCAATCCAAAGAGAGGAACCTGGACCCTAACAGCTCCTGGCAAAAATGGTGATCATGAGTTCTCTGTCAAGACAAGCAGCGACACTAACGTAGATTTCGAATATTACTTTCTGATCGCACTGTCTTGGCGCCGGGGACACAATGCTGACGTTCCCATTTCAAATCCAGTTACTGGTGAGTCAGTCAAGTTTAAATACCACTCATTAACTGAGGAGTCCGTAGTTAGTGCCATTCGACAGTTACTCAATCTCGTGCATTCGCATTTATTGCAGGCAAGTTGAACAAAATCATAATCACAGTGGCTGGATCAGAAAAACTAAACAGCAGTTCCCTTCTACTCCAACTCATATCCACAGAAGGAAACCTCATCAGTGACGTCACCCTTCAGTCACAAAGCCAAGGCGATTTCATTGCCAACTATCATCTTAACGCGCATGTCCCGTCGTTCAAGTTGAAGCTAAAAGGAACCACGCAAAACGGTTATCCATTTGAAAGAATTTCCCGAAAAACCGCCAGGCCAACTACGGCTGTTTTAAGGGTCAAGTATGCAAGCAATCTTTACACTCTTCCTCTGGGAAGAACCACCTTCATCCATTTCCTGGTATGCAATTCTGGGGCTACTGAAATGTTTCATATCGAAGTCCTAGAGGACAGACTGGGCTATATCGTACGACGAGGACGTCATCGAAGCTCTAAACGACGTAAAGCTGGTAAACTAGTGATAAAAGGCCGCTGTGTACTTTTCTTTGTTTACGCAAAGTCTACTCGTTCTGAGGATGTGGGAAAGACAGATCCCATTTATTTCATCCTTAAGGGTCAAAAATCAAAAGTTGTTATCTCCCAGACCGTTCATTTGCTTGTTGACAATTAAAGCATTTTCCAGTCGAAGTGTTAAAAAACCAAACGTTGTTACTCTCAAACCTATTACGACATAATTATACTTATATACTCATAGATCATGAAATAACAAAACCTCGAACATAGGGATGCTTAGTTTCTAACCACTAAGTGGGACCACCCTTCTGTGCTAGAAAATTTGATGACTTCAGTTCACTGTTTGATTGATTTAGAAAGTAAGTAAACGCTGTTTTAGCATTAAACAAGAAGAATTAGAAGTAACGTTATTCGACGTCTTGATGTATCCAACATGATCGGGTCCCCCTCAAGAATCATACAAAAAGACGCGAAGCTCGTATTCTATTAGTATGATTGCATAAAAAGCAAGGACAAGCGAATGCCATCTAATAATGTTGGATACATCGAAACATAGCAGAATAACGTTACTTCTCAATTTTCTTCCACTAATTGTTGTCGGAAAATTAATTACTCTTTGCGCATGCGTACTGCCGAGGCTCGATTTCCAGCGATTTGAGACTGGTTTGATTGAAACCAATCTGCATCCTCCTCCCTCAAGATGGCCGGGACGCGGACGCACAAGACGGCTAGCTGCCTTCGTAGTAGTCTGCGAGAGCATCCGTTTTTTTCGGCCTCTAGTTTCACCTGCCGAGAAATACCGACATTATTTTCCGGAGGGAGAGAAGCGATGACCGGAAATACGTCTGCAGTTCGCAGGCTACCTTGTAGAAGTATAGGCAGAAACTCAATTCTTTCTACCAAAATCACGTCGGACACCTTATGACATGTCTGCTCAAAGAAATTCTCTATAGTGGAAGGGCGCCTTGACTATGGTGATTAGGGATAAGCACTGACTTGACTATGGTGATTAGGCTTAAGCACTGACTTTACTGCGCTTAGGGGTTAAAGCAGTAAAAATAGTGATAAGAGCAATGACTTCATTGATTAGAGTAAGCACTGAGAATAGCTGTGATTAGGGCTATGCACTCTCTCGGAATGGTGCTTTCATTTTCTGTAAACGTTTGTCTGTAAATCAAAACGGCCTTGACCAGCAAAGCCACCATGTTGTAGCAGTATGGGCAATGTAGCAGTATGCCGCCCCCACCCGGGATTGAATCCGATAATGCCGACATCAAACACTTCTTGACATTTTTTCTTCTTAAAAGTGAGAAGGAACGATCACTTTGGAGAATAGAAACGAGTGACAACCTTGAAAGTACTGAGTTTACGTGGCCAGGTTACATATTCTGCGGTTTACGCGACTGCTTTGAATTATTTCAATAAAGCTGCTATAAATCCTTAATATAATGAGCAACGAACCTCGGCCAAAGAAAGTAAAAGTTCTTTTATTTTAGTGCGTTACTTTTCATATATATCAGCTACTAACAAAAAGGCAATATCTCCAACTGGAAGATAAAGTTTGTCCAGAAGCCGATTACTGGTTTGTCCTTTTCAAAGTTTGTATACTAAGATTAATTTTTCAAGTGTTTGAGAATAAAGGTTTTTTCTTTCTTATCTTCTTTTTTTATTTTTTGTCGAATCAATAAAGAGCCTTGTCCCAAACTGGCTGCTCTTGATAAGTGCGGGGAATGAATTTTTACTCGGGTGGAAAAATTGTCAGAAGACAGTTATCATTTAACTTAAAAGGATTATTAGGTAATTTATCATGAGTAGACCTCATACCTTTGATAATCTCTGTCTAATTCAAGTAAAAGTAAGTTTAAGTAAAAACCTGACAGGAAAATCCTATTTTCTTAAAACGTTATATTTCAGCTTCTTTCCTTTCTGCCATCCTTTTTAAACCCTTTTAGATACCCAATAATAAGAACGAAACTGATTTGCCTCCAAAGTGGTGACATCATTTTCCAAGCAAAAATGTTTAGATCCAGTGAAAAACATAAAGTGAATTTGTTGAAATAGCGAGCACCTGACCGCTTTATTTGTACCATAAAAAACGCATTGCAATCAAGGAAAACTCAGCAGAGATAATAATGCTGTTTTCTTTAAAATTACCCTACCATTCTGCCTGAACTGTAAGCTAAGTGCTTGTCTTTGGTATTCACAATCAGAATGCAAAAGGTTGCTACTTGAAATAACTGGGCAAGCTTTTCAAGTTCAATTCTTCCGCCGTTGTGCTATTGAAACGTATTAAAAATTGAACTGTCTTTGTTTTAATTTTTAAGACATTTGCTTCAAATTTTTCAGAGTCCCTAATATCAGAAAAAAACTTGCTGGGGTATGTAGCTCAGTTTTGACTCATATATTAAAACGTGTAACCCAGCATGACTCAGTAGCTGTGATCCCTCTACAACTGTGAAAATGAAAAGATAAGCGAACCACTACGAGAACTAGATGGCGGTAAAGAGTTCGTTATCTCGGCAGTGGCGGGTCTAGGCGAGGGGATAAGGGGCCTGCGTCCCCACATTATCTTAGGCTCGCAACCCCTGAAATGATAATTTTTAAAATCGCTCCCTCCCCTTCCACTTATCTCAACTCAACGAGGAAGGACGTCCCTGCTGCTAACATGACAGGTTGGAGGCCTTAGCCCAGCAGCCAGGAGGGAGGAGGCGTGTCTATTCTTTTCAGGTATTTGTCTGTGACCAGAAACCCACTGAGTGGTTGAATCAACAACTTATGGGTTTCTGCTGTGACCGAGTCATCACTGAGCAATCCCTGCCCTTTGACCGGTTTAATCCCAAAAAACAACTACGTGCTTTGTTTTTCTTTGGGGAGATGAAATATAATATCAAATACTTGCTAACCCGGCGCGCCATATGAGCAACAAAATAACGGAAGTGCGGAGGATTTCATTTCAAATGAATTGTTTCTAATACACTTCGAAGGGTTCTTGGGTCATTCTAAACCGATCAAGATATCAAGTAGTCCCGCTGGTCAACACAGTAAAAACAACTCAAGATCATGGAGAGACGCATTTTCTTCCTCTTCGTAGTAACAGCTCTCTTTTCGTTGTCGTTTGCCGCAAAACAAACCTTCAGGGACGTTTTGCCTTCGCTGCATTTCACCCGCGAAGCTCTGTTAGATTTTGCGCGTGGCTCCCAACAAACCGTGGATATTAACCTAATGCCAAAGAATAAAACGAAGCTGGTCAATAAAAAATATTTTATACGAAATAACAGTTGTGGAGGGATTCAAGAATGTGTCGCGAGCTCCGTAAAACTTGTGGAACTAACTCAAGGAAATGGTGAAAATGAACGCAACACAATGGAGTTCAATGAATATTTCACTTTGCAACCTGAAGATATTGATAATTTCCTTGATCATCCAACGAGAAAGAACTTGCCGAGGGAATTAATAGTCAAAGTCCAAGCGGGCCGGGAAAATGTTCAAAGACGGTTAGTACTCATCTCATTTAATGAAACAACAATTGTCAACTCGACGAAACGCGAAGTTTACAGACCACGTACTTCACCCTCGAACAAATTTATGAAAGCACTGAAAGATGTGGAGCTAGCCTTGGTGAATGCAAACGCATATGCCGTTAAGTTCAGCCGTGATACCCTACCTAAACTAAAAGCGCTTGTCGAGAGAGCTATCAAGAGAAACAACTATAAATACGCAAGACAGGTAAGGACAGTGACGCGCTATATCTGAAACGTAACAAACAAGGATACATTAGTTCCAAGAACTATTGATAGTTCCAAGAACTATTGTTTTTCTTGTAATAAACTGGTTGGTAAAGGCAACGTGATATGTGCGATCTAATTTTCAGTACATCAGTTCTCTCAGCTCTACAAGCTACAAGCGCAGAGCTACCATTTAACCAGGGCGCCCTGATTTAACTCTCCCGCATTCGCCCCAGGTAAGGGAATCAACGGATTCCAGAGTCCCGGAAAATTTTGCTTTTGGAATCCGGAATCCTTGGCTTTTGACTCCGGAATACAGCTCAAGGAATACGGAACGGAATCCAGAATCCACAGTTAGGAAATCAGAATGCAAGACTGTCTTGGTTTACCTTACATGGGGGAGCAGAAACTAAATGGTGTTTTCCTAACACGCTTAATTAGAATATAATATTTATATTTATCCGTATCTTTGCGGCAGGCATACGAAATTTACTTTATTACAAAGAAAGTAACTTTTAACGTGTAAGCTTCCCTTTTGGTCAAGTTTGAGGTCTAGAAATTTCAATATTAGAGAGCACTGGATTAGACTGGGAGTCCCTTCCAGTGCTTGTCGTAATATATCAGAATGAATAGGCCAAGCTGAGCGTGCCTCCAGCCTTGCTTATTTGACCCCTAAAAGGTTATATTCTAAAAAAGACAGCCAAGTAAGAGTCGATACTGTACTTAGTATGTAAATTTATTGCGATCAGATTAAGACATTCAATGCGATCAAATGATGCTTTCTTAATACTTCTCTTTTCTTTACTAACAACTGTAAGCGAAAGCGATACCAGTATGGGCAAGCATATTGGTGTTCGTGACTCACGAGTCGACGAGCTTCTCATCTCTTCCATGTGGAATGGGAGTTCCCCACCCCAGGGATGCATTTGCATAACGAACGAAACAGCTGTAACAGGGTTGAATTCCAAACTTGAACTCATACTAAGTCTCAGACACGTATTCTGAAGATTCTTCATGCATATTAAAACATATTTCCACCATTTCTCCAGATCGTGGGAAGGATCATGTATTTACTCAGCACCAAGCCAAGACCCCAGCGTCGTACAAAGAGAAGCTTCACGAATGAGGGAAGTGATTTTCTTCGGAGCCTTCGGAAAAGAGTCGGAAGAGTCGCATTTGACAGCTTTATGGCTGTACAAGGCGATGTGTCTTTGATGTTTGTCATAGATAGTACAGGAAGTATGAGGGATGAAATCGAAGCAGCTAAAAACATCGCCAACGACATCATCAATTACAAGCGGAAAATGCCCATCAAGGAATACATTCTGTCACCTTTTAATGACCCTTATCCGTGTAAGAAAAACAGAAATTTAAGCAGACATCCTGGGGATTCTCAGTTGTTTACACTTTATGAAAATTCTTCCACAGAAAAAATGGAAAGAAAATTATGAGGCTAGTTGGTCTGCCCGTGTGGATCCCCTATATAGATCTTATTCCACAACTGAGTCCCTCTCATCATGTTAGTACCAAATTAAAATAGCGGGATTTCCATAACCATACACTTGTAAGTGATTGGACATAATTCTTTTTTTTTTCCAGTCTTGAGATTTTTGTAAATACGTTCCTTCAGATGCTGCCTTTAGCAGAGAGCGTATTCACATGACGGCACGGCGGCCATATTGGTGTTTCAAAACAATAAAACGGCGACCATTTTGGTATACCAAGAAAATCCTGTGGGAGTTGAACTCTTTTCTTATATAAATTTTTCCTTTTGTTCCAATAAATTTGCATAGAGGCTGCCCACCTGAGTGAATACGCTCTATTACAGCTCCTGAAGAAAGATATTTTAAGAGTCAAAACCCAGTTTAAGCTGCGCTGACAGACACGTTTATTCTTTCCTCACTTCTCAGAGATTTATGTTAGTCCTAATGACTTACTTCGCAGATCTATCAAAAGAAGACCCAGTTGTTGTTAAGTCCGAAAAAGAAGCTGGGGATTTTGAAAAAGAAATAAAGAAGCTCAAGGCGTTTGGAGGAGGGGACTGCCCAGAGTATACATTTGAGGGAATCCGTGGAGCGCTTGCTAAGCTAACTTTTGATGGTTCTCCTATGTACGTATTCACTGATGCAGGACCAAAAGACGCAACAAAGGCGACGATTGAGGAAGTAAAGATGATGGCTGAAGTCCATGATGTTGCTATCAACTTTTTGGCATCAGGTTTAGTAGATTTTTACTGATCTTCATTGAGCTTATAATCCTGCAATACTTGTAGTGACCACTAAAAGCGGGCAGTAATTTGTCTCCAAGTTGTGTTGTACCGTTGCAACATCGGATCTTAAGTCTAAAAGCCGATGTTTTATGGGCTAGCCGTGCCGTCGCGTCATAATAGGGAGCTTTTAGCATCGACGACAGCAACTGCAGCGAAAACGTCAGTTTTAAAATGAATTCCCTTTTTTTCAATATTTGTCGCATTTATTCCAATTTGCTGAAAATGGCAAGTGTAGGCGAATTTCCCTGGAGTTGATTTCTTGAAGACCGCACTCAAGTTTAGAGAGAGAAAAAGAGATTCGTCGTTGCTTGTTTACGTCCTCCATAAAACTTGCAATTAGGCATTTTCACGTCGTAGTCGTGCAAGGACGGTAAAGAAATGTACAAAAAAGCGTGATGCACGTGTAAAGTTGTTGTTTTGCGTAATAAAGGTATTGCTTTTCTGACGTCCTATTTGCCGTCGCCGTCGTCGTTGTTAAAGCTCCCTAATGGCCGGGGGGGTTTTCCCTGATACTGGCCTATACAGCGAGGCTCCGCCCGAAAGGGATACCTTTTTCAGGCTTTAGGTACGTGAAAGGGCAGAGATTTCGCACAATGAGTTTAAGTATAAGAAAAGGAAAGGAAAATCTGCCATTTCTTTTCGTAAAAAGGCCCAAAGGGATAACAGAGTGCATTTTATGGCTATGAAAAGTTGAGAAAACGTTCTGGATTTTGTAATTTATTCATATTTAAAAGACAGTGCATTTACAACAGTTAAAAGGGATACAAAGTTCAAAACAAGGTATGTGAAAGGGGTACCATTTGTCTATAGAAGGTACACGAAAGGGGTAACTTTTTGGTTGAAAATGGCATATAAAAGGGTCAGGGGTTGGACCTTACGGCGGATCCTCCCCCTATAAAACTTTGTTAAGTAAACCCTCCCCCCGGGAGATTAGCATCCCAACCAGGGCGGGGAAATTAAAGTAGTATCGCCCTTCTTGGAGTATTATGACTATTATTAATAATAATAATGATGATGATGATAATAATGATAATAATAATAATAATAATAATAATAATAATAATAATAATAATGATAATGATAATAATAATAACAATAATAATAATAATGGTTTATTAACAGATCCACTGGGTGGCTCTTCCCTGTTAAATTACATTAATTACAATTACAATATAAATCAAAGTAAGTTATTTACAAATTATGCAATATACAATTAAAAGTAGAAGCAGGATTAACAGAATCCAATTACAGTAAAACTGACTAATCACTCTGTACTCTGTTACTTAAAAAATTCCTTGAAAGTCTTAAAAAGGTTCTGTAATCTTTAAAGTTTCTAATAGTTTCTAGTAGACCTTGAGCAATTTTAATTTACCCTACCATTATTCAAACTTTAACTTCTTAAAATCTCTCTTAGGGGTTTGTAATTATGCAGGCGACGAGGTACACGCACGAGACCCAAAACGCCTTCACCCAGCTTTCCTGAAACTGGCTGAAAGTACTTCTGGTCTGGCCATAGTGTTTCAAACCAGGAAGGAGTTGGAGCAAATGAGCAATTGGACAACTGGGATGATGGAGGGCGACACTATCGTATTCATTGGGTCAACTTTGCCAGACAGGAGCAAAAGAAGCCTAGCTGATGAATCTGCTAACCGTCAATATCGGATTCCGGTGGATGATTCAATAGAAAAAATGTCCTTGACCATTTACACCGTTGGGGAAGGTACTACAATTTCTGACGCATACGTACCCTCTAATACATTAGAGAGATTAAGAATTACATTTACGGCAAAGGCGAACGTCAGATTCAAGATGACAATTTTTCAAAACAGAAGATAAGAAGTTAAAAGTGAACTTTTTAAACTAGCTCTCATGGATGAAACCCGGAGTGAAACTATTTAATATTAATAAACAGTTAACGATAAGTAAAGAACAAATTCAGTCACGTGGTACGAACTGGCGTTTGCCGTTTGCCGTAAACGTGATTCTATAGAATTTTGTACAGTCCAAGTTTTCCCCTTGTTTCTCGTTTACTGTTTATTGCGAACCACAAGAATCGTTCTGGACTGTTTTTATCTGCTTATTTTCTATTCTGAGAAATTTTCAACTGACGTTTGCTGTTTGCCGTATGCCGTAAACGTGAATCTTAATCTCTCTTATATCTCTCTATTATACTCACCGTAAACTAAGGAAATGAATTAAAAAGGAAACAAAACAAACTTGTATAGCAAATGCTACTAAAAATTTTGCCCAAAACTAATAAATGTCGAAGAGGTTAGCTTTGAAGACCTTTGAATGGTTAAACCATAATTTAGCCTAGGGACTGAAAACATAGAACTCACCGAAGTCTCCAAAAGGAAGATTGATATTTTTATGTTGACGGTGGTAGTCAATCAATCAAAATAAAAAAAATATCCTAAACCACGTCGGACCAAAAGAATCCTTTGGTTCTGAAAAGAAGACATTTATACCGCGTACTTTTTTAAAATTAAATCAGGCTTGCGCGCTGAAATAACCTTATCTTGTTGTCCTTACAGGCAACGGGATTACCTTAAAAGACTCAGACAACGTCAGTATAACAACTGGAATACTTAGCCTTTCGCATCTCACTATATACGAGATCATCAATCCTAAGCGAGGAGCCTGGTCCCTAACCGTACCAGGCAGTAGTGGCGGGCACGAAATCTTGGTCATGTCAAGCACGACGGAAATACACTTTGAGCATTACTTTTTAGTTGCATTGCCTTGGGGCAGAAGACACACTGTTGAGGTTCCCATATCGAATCCAGTTCCTGGTGAGTTTAACACTCTTTCTGACGGAGGAGGGGAGAGAATTGACACGGAGCTTTGTCCTGGGTTTATTTCAGTCTTATAACCCTTCGCCGATCGGGGAGTCGCGGGGTCTCGACCCCACTAAATACACCCATTAAGTCACAATATATTTTCTAAGTAATAGACTTAGTTCTTAGACTTGTCTTCTACAAGTCGACCCTTTCATAAGTTGTTAAAAGCGACTGAAGCGATCTTCAATGAGAACCATTCTCGTCAGCAGCCAGCCAGTGCAGTAACAGGCACTATATGCATTTCCGCGTGCCGAGGAGCTTCCATTGTATTAATGAAGTGGCTTCTCAGCGAACCTGTTACGCTACTATTTACTCTTAGCTTCTATCTGAGTGTTTTTTTTTTGTATTTTGTGATTTTCGTTTTGTTACCACAAGATTTCATTTTTTCATGCAGGCAAGGTGAACAAAATAATTATTTCTTTGGCCGGATCAGAAAAAGTTGACAACACTTCCTTAAGACTGCAACTTATAACCACAAAGGGAGACCACATCATTGATGTCACGCTTCAACAACAATCTCAAAGCCATTTTATCGCCAGGTTTAATCCAAAAGCACTTGCCAGATCATTCAAGCTTAAGCTTAAGGGAACAACAAGGAGTGGTTACCAGTTTGAAAGAATTTCCCGCCAAACGGTCAAACCAGCCACCGCTGTATTAAGGGGCAGATACGCAAGCAACGATTTCACGCTCCCTCTTGGAAGAACCACGTTTATCCACTTTCAGCTATGTAACTTTGGAACCACTGATACTTTCGACGTTGTTGTCGTAAAAGACGTACTTAGCTACGTGTTACCACGTCGCGCGACTCCTAAAAGCGTAATAAAAGGACGCTGCGTGATTATCTCTGTTTACGCAAAAGCTACTGGTCATCAGGACGTGGGAAAGACAGATACTGTTTTTGTCATCCTTAAAGGTCGACGCTCTCGCCTTTTTGTCTCACAGACAGTTCATTTGCTTGTTGACAATTGAAAGTAACGAAACCTTGTAGAATACTGGTCGTCAGCCCTTAAAGAGCGCAATTACGGAAGAGCAGTTAGCATAAGTCAGCGCTCTTACAATTAACATGTGAATTCTCATTAGCATCATTTAAATAGTCGATGGGTTATGTAGAATTAGGACCAGCCAAATGCACCAATCAAGTTTTTCAATATCACTATTAATGCAAATCTCAATCTAGTAACTTGAAAACTTTCGCTACGCGGTCATACTAGGGCGCCTGAAGATACATAGTAATACTAATCATTGCACCTCAGAAAATATACTGAAACTGAGGACAGATAATTGTGGGATTTACCTATGATTAACTTTCTCCAAGATACGTCGCATTTGCGTACCATATACCATGAATATCCTGTAAAGACTTCCGCCACTTTTTTGTTTTGTTTTGTTTTGTTTTTTAATTTGGTGTTGTTCCCTGTTAAGCATGTTTGGAGGAGGTGTAACCTTGCATGCATTCTCTCTAAGGTGGTAGCGCTAAAATCTTATTTAAAAAGCGAAACGAAAATAGAGCCTGATCCCAGGTTAGAGGAGGCGTAGATAGATGGACTTGTCCACTAGCATATAAATGAGAAAAAAGAAAGCACTTACCGTACCCTAGGTGACTTAGTTGTACCGTGGATACAGGTCATGATAGGGGTTACTAAGTTGTACCTTAGATCCATGCACACGGAGAGTCACATTTATAAAAAGGTTATTTAGTCTTTTGTTGTTGCTGTTGTTGTTAATTTGAGTAGCAGAATGGGGAGGGGAACTTCAGGGCTTCACTAAAGATCACTTCGGTGAGAAAGTCTCATGGCTGGTAAAACATTCTTAGAGTCATTAAACACTATCGATATTGTACCATTATTATTAATATTGTACCATTATTATTACAAAATATAGGTTGATTTTATTAACTGGAGGTGGCTCGCTACTAAGAGAGAGAATTTTTATTTTTTAGCGTTCTTATCATTGACTGTTATTACTCTATGCGTTTTGCACTCGCTTTGTAGAATTCCTAAGAAAGAAGTTGTAAGGCACATCACGAACGACTTATCCACTATGAGCACATCCTATTCCAGCATAACATCTTCCCCGAGGTTTTCTTTCCGCATTACTTGTTCCTAGGCCTTCCGCCTGTGCATTAATCAGTTCCTGGTGAAAGGAGAACAGGAGAACAGGTCATGAGCTTTGTGGCAAACTTGCAGCGTAATCCAGGAGCCTTCCTATTCAGTGGCGAATCCAGGGGGGGCCCGACAGCCCCCCCGCCCCCTCCCCTTATATTTAGACCAAACTGAGGACCGAAGGTCCCAAAAAAATTTTGAGACTACCCCCCGGCCCCGGCCTCTTATCTCAAGGTCTGGATCCGGCATAGTCTCCTTCGCAGCCGTTATTAGGGTCGTCACTCGTCACGCAACGCTCCTCCCCACTTGCGTGACGAGTGACGACCCTAATAACGGCTGCGAAGGAGACTAGATCCGGCACTGCTGTTACATGATAGCTATTAAAATACTGGCAAAATCAGCTTGCATCTAAACATCTTTTGCATCTATACGTGGACACGTAACGAAAAAACATGCTGTAATTGGGTGAAAACATGACATTTTGAAGGGCGTTAGACGAAGGTTCACTCAAGTGCAAGGATGGTTGGTTTATACGCCTATTTGGTCATGGAAACACTGAGACGTCATAGATCTGGATTTTTTTTATGAATTTATTTGAAATATACGGAAACAGGCCGCACGGTAAAAAAAGGTAAAATTCTTTACTAGCCTCGTCCCTAGGGTCTTCTCGTTTTCCAATATCGGCACCCCCGGTACATGTGGGTCCTGTCGCCGCCATATTAAAAAGCGAGAAGGCGAAATCACAATTACTTTTTCGTTTAAAATCTCTCTCTATGTTAGGAGTACCTGGTCGGACAATAGCTTCAGCCGATGGAGAATTGCTTTCCCTCTTTGGCTTTGCCCTGCCAACACGACGCATGCTCCAAGAAGAACAAGCGCTGTTAAAAAGAGCAACTTTCGGTTCATTTTGCTGCGAAGAATGAAGCTACCTGTATAAATAAAATAGTTTAAATACTGAATCGGGTGGTACTGCACATTTCCTGTGTTCTGGAAGTATTTGATGGTAAACGTACAAGATTAAGGAGAAGAAAATGACCATGCACAAATTTAAAAAAAAGCACTCTAAAATGCGCGCTTAAAATATGAACGGCAAGACCGTAAAAACCTCATGTAAATTACGCTCAAAAAATTAATGAACAAACCATGGCAACATTTTCTGGATAGAAACAGTATATTACTCGGTGTGTGATGTGAAAAACCAGTCGCAGTTTCTGCACGGCGTACCGCGCATATATGGTTGACGTTCCTGAAAAGCTCTCTAGTAACGTTTCGGCTCGAAAATGAATAAAATTAAATTTGAAAAAGAAAAACCTGTTCCCCATTTTTAGACTATAAGTTGGTACATGGACAGAGGAAACACCACCGACAAGGTCTGTTTTAACTGGCCACATGACACATGATTTCTATATACCCCACATCATTACAACTAGAATACCTGGGCTTAGGCTGCGGGAAACCTGGCTAAATGTTCCGAGTATTCTCTTTTACAGTCAGTTAAAACTGCTCTCTGATCACCAGCAGCCTTGAGCAATTTCTCAATCTTAACTAACCTGTTTGCGTCTTAAATAATGAGACCAACTGTCGAATAAAAATCAATTACAATGTAATAACAGAGAATTGATTGCTTTATATTTCCTGAGTCCTTTTTTGTTGAAAGCCGTTGAGTATTAAGGAAGACTTTATTGACTTTCCAGCCTAAATATTTAACTCTGTCAGCGTGCTAAAATGAAAAGCAAGTCAATTTTGATCTTTTAAATTCATTCCAAACTTGTTTTTAATCATGTGCAGAGATTTCGTCAGGAATTATTACAAAACGCGGATTTTCATGATCAGGGGAGAAAAGCTCGCGAGTCTTCGTAACCTGACTCGGGTCATCCAACTTCATTGTCCTTTTCCAGAGAATTTTAGTCGTCGTTCGGCGCTTTCATCAGATTCAAAAACTCGAAAAAACAAAATGGGAACGTTAAGTCTTCAGTCAGTGAGTTATTACTGGAAAACGAAATGACTTCCGTAGCAACGGAGGAGAAGTTTAATAACTTTCAGTCTTGTGCGATACTTAGCCGAAACAAAGCTTATTGCTGCATTATCCCGAAGAAATGTTATGTTGCTTAGTTACAAAATCACATCACCAAGAGATCAAAGATATCCGTTGAAATAATGTTTTGTTGCAGCCAATCTTTTCCTATTTCGAATTTCTGTGGCCTTAGTACCTAACAGAAAATTTTCGTCAACTTTCATACGCATGATGATCTATTCAGTTTGCGGAGTTCATGTTAGAGAAAAAGGGTTGAGTCCGGTCAGAAAGAACACACTATTTCGTGTTAGGGCCGTCGTCACTGTTTCTTTTCGTAAAAGAAATCAAGACAAAGGAGACAATGGAGACGAAGAGTTTTATTAACTTTGACGTGTATCCTTTCATGATGCCTGACACTAGAAAATGACACTGATATAAGATCCTCTAAACTAGTATGACCATAATTTTTTTATTCATGTTGTGTGATTACTGATCTGGTAGGTGTTAACTGATTCTCAACATTATATAGACTTCTGCAGTACGCGAAACGGAAATGAAAAGTATACATTCTGTTTGTCAAATAATCGGCTCATTACTTCCGTGATCTTATGCACAAGGTAGATATTATGAGAAACATAAAGATACTTAGTAAAAGCAGAATTTTATAGTTTTAAACTTTTTATTATCGATTTTTAAAGGGACAAGGCTCCAAACTTTCGTTACCTTGATTGGCAGCTGATCACAATCAGTGTCTTTCTAAGACAAACGAAAAGACAAACGAAAACTCTAAAATCGTAGGTTTCCTGTGACTCTTTCCCAGGTTTTACTCGGCCTACACCCCTTGGTCTAATATAAACATGGCGATCTTTTGATCGTCTTTTCTTGAAAATCGTCACTCAAAAATTATCCAGAGAAGATTAATTGCATACTAAGATCGTTGACCCTTAAAGAATCGAAGGTAAGGAACGGGAAAATTACATTTTCTAATGTTTTTTGAATGACATCGAGCTGTTCAATTGCCCGAACAAGTCACGAATTTGTTCAGTCAGGATCAATTTTCGTTTACCAAAACGCGGCTTCTTTTAGCTTTCGGGAGACCATCACCAACTTAAGTTTAATTTTAACCTTGCTTGATTTCAGGGACATGGGGTGCTGCTTAGACTTCGAAAAAGTGGGAAAAGCAGTCTGTATTATTCTGTTAATACTACAAGGTGCCATTTTGGATGTTTATCTTGTCGAACATCATGATACAAACTCGCTGGGATTCGTCGCAACTGATATCATTGTTGTCGCTATTTGGATTGGAGTTATGTTCATAGCTAAAAGAAAATTCCTTTCCAAGTTGAAAAAGGTTCGAAGAAGATTCAAAAAGGAGAAGGTCGACGGCCGTGATAAAGACCCAGGAGATTACGCAGACGAGATTCCGTATGTTTTCATCGCGTGGTTTGCCTATGTAGCGATCACCCTGGTACCTGAAGTAGCGGTGATTTTTAAACGCTTCGCAGATCAGCTTGGCGATGCTAAGGTATTTGGTCAGAATATACTTAAGATTGCACTGTGTATCACGCCAATGCTGTTCCTTCTTCTGGTGAATTCACACCACGATTCTAAACCCTATTCTCAAAGAAAAGTCTACATTGACAAGGTCTCTGCTGGAGTAACCTTGGATCTCCTCGACAGCATCGACATCTTGGAAATCTTGTTCATAAATGACATAGAGCTGAAACTACCAGTTGGACTGGAAAATGCTATCATTGTTTTTGCATGCATCAACTTTTTTCTACCAACTCTTGCATTACTAGAATTAAGCGCTATTGTCAAAGGTCAAGTTCGCTCTGCCGCCTTCAAGGTCATGTACTCAATTTCCTACATTCTTTTGATCAATATTCCTTTAGGAGCGATTAGAATTATTCTTTGGACACAATACAATCAAGATGTGTCGGTTTTTATCGGCAAGAATGTCATTGCTTCGGCCATTTATGCCTTTGATATTTACGAATCCTTGGGACCTGAGAAACCAAAACAGTGTCCTACTTGTGAAAAGCATTTTGCACCAGATGTGATTGATGGGCACAAGAATCATTGTGACACCGTTGTGCAAGAGGGGGATGATGCTAATATTGCAATGGATTCTCTGTTGTAAGAATTTGAGTCTACAAAGTGTGATGCACTGTAAATGGACAATGGCAATAATATTATCTCAAGCTGCCTCTCTACTTTTTCTGTTACCGGAAGTAAATTTATAGCAAGAGCTACATAATACATTTTACTTGCTCTTAGCACATGTTGCTGTGGAGGTATAAATTGCTCCAAGGCAGATCAAAGTTTTAAGAGAAGAAGCCCTGGAATAAGAGCTGTTTTTAATGTCAGAACTGTTGATAACATATCAGTAACAATAGAAATGCATTGGTGCAAGTTTTAATCCTGGTGAATACATGAGAAAGATTTTTTTCAGAATGTGACACAGGTGGCCCGGAGGAAAAAAGCCAGTGCTCCCAACAAGAGTCAAACCTATGACCTTCTGGGTATTAGTCCAGGTGCTCAACCACTATGCTGCAGGAGACTTGTTGGAGCTAAGACTAGTTTCATATTGCCAACATCCTGCATACTGCCAGGACTGGAATGCTGTTGTGCAATGACAGAAATGCGATGGTGAATTTTACAGTGCACCTTCTGTAACTGGGGCCCCTTAGACAAAGTTGACCAACCAGTTTATAGGAAAATAACAGTACATTCCAAGAACGTCGGTTGTGGGCCAATCAGCGGTGTGTAAAAAACAATAAGTTACTCAGAGCACAAAATTTAATATTGATAGCAGTATTTCAGGAAGGCAAAATGTTTCACCAGACAATGTTCTTCTATTTGAAACTTTGCATACAACACCCATGAGACATATTTCTTTGACACCAGCAATTTCCTTGCTTCTATTGCAGTGCTTTGCATTAACATGAGACCGCGAGTCTAAAGTATATATTAACTCTTGTTGAAGTTTTCGCTTCTGTTACTCACTCCAATGGACCTCTTGGGAAACACATGCTTCTATAGCGGGTTCAAAAGGTTACGTCTGTAGGTTGTAGTTGGTTGATTTTGATCCAGGTTTATTTCTTTACGTGGTAAATATGATGGACAACTAATTTTCTCAGAATGTATTGTTATTTTCCTGAAATCCAATCGGTCAACTTTGTCTAGGTGGCCCCAGTTATTGTAGTCGCACTGTAAGCCTGGTGATTACATGAAAATTTTTTTCAGTAGGTGACACAGCCAACATTCCTGGCAGTACAGTCCAGTCCTGTTAAGGTTGTGTACTAGTTTCTTGTAAATATGGAAAATTCAGCAGTATATTATCAAGCTTTTATTGAAAGACAATGAAGAGTTAGCATCATTTTGATAGGGATACGCTCAGGGTTTTAAAATGGCAGTTGATGCTTACTTCATTGTCACTTTTTTCTGCTGAATGTGTAGTAATGTACATTATGTAATGATTATTGCTGGAGCCCATTAGGCCTGTCCTATTCCAGGCCCAATAATCTACACTTGCCCTGAGTTATGACCTGGATGGACTTTAGGGCCCAGTAAGTTGTTCGAAGGCTGATTAGTGCTTAACCCGGGGTTAAATTTAACCCGGGTTTCCTTTTCTTGTGTTCAAAAGCATTTTCTCCGATAATTTCCTCTGTTATTTTTAGAGCTTCCAATCATCAACTTGTAGACAAAAAGAATTAAAACTGAAATGCTTTTTAAGCTTTCAAATCTGAATTCAAATCTCATACTAACCCTGGATTATCTTAACCCAGCTTCGAGCAACTTGGCCCAGGAGGAGTTCTCAACCAGGGAGGGAGGGAAAGGTGTAAAAATACATAGGTAATATATTATTTTTGTTGTGGAGGTATTATTTTTGAAAAAAAGCTCGGTTCATTGCATGCGTTGATGATTATGTTATTTTTTTTTCAAAGGTTGGATGACAAATATAGGAATTTTAGTAAATGAGGTTTTTGTTTTAAATTTTTTTTTTTTTTCGTCAGTCAAACCATTATAGGCTCAGTGGTCATGACTGTTTAACACGTTCTTTGGAATTTTTTTTTTTTTACATTTTGTGAAAACATAGCTGTTGCTTCAATAAACTAGGCTTTTTGAGAAAAATAAAACTCTTCTTTGCTTTAAAATATTCCCTGTATTGTTTCAGAATAGTGTTATATTGCAAGCTGGGTCAATATTAAAATGACTAGATTTTTATGGCCTTTGTGTTATGTAAGTATGCCTAAAGATTCTCTACTGTATCCTTGGGATTTGAACCCAACCGAGACAATGGCCGGACTTAAGTCTTGCACCGGCACATTATCAAGGGCAAAAATGTGAGGAAACAAGAACAAGGGGAATGCTTTTAATATAGTAAAAATTTAAAGTTTGTAGCCAAAAAAAAAACAAAACCGAACTTTCAAAGGTCCAAAATAGGTCATTCATCACGGGATTAACTTTACCGTGCTTAACTTTCTTAAGCCCGATTCCATAAACCATAATTTTCAATCATAAGATTATTTTGGCATGTGTGATACAAAGACTATTTAAACTGAGCATGTGTAAACAACTTCAAGTGTATAATGAGAATTCTTTTATTTCACGCGACACTGATTCAATCAAACAAATTGGACTTATTGATTGTTGCGCTTTTGAAAAACTAATTTCAGTGTCACCTTCATGCTTGGTGGTTTTTAGCACCCGTGATTCTTATGCCAACAAAACATATCTCGTCACCCATTAAATTAACTCACTACAAAGTTCTTTTTATTTGAAAAGTCGATAGACTATTTAATAGTGGAATGCGGTAAACTAAACTGAGTGGAGGTAGGGCATTATTGCAGCAATCACAGTCCCAAGCACACTGACGCGAGCAATAGAATATCAAATATCCGCGCTTTCCTTAGACTGAGAGCAGTCTCTGTTTTACTTCAGATTTAGTTTAAGGAGTGCATGCGCGCGAGATCGTCGAGCCGCGGAACGCGAGAAACAAGGGCGGCAGCCCTTTCCCTCGACAGGCTAAAACTGAAAGAGACTGCTCGTCGTCTACCCTTGATATCACATAGCCCGCTTGGCAGGCGTTAAAAGGGGAAAAAAAGATGCTCCGACTTCCCTCCCTCATTTCTTCAACTCTTTAAGCCCTAATATCCAAATACAAATTCTGCAGACTGATCTCTATACATTTCCTAGACTACGAGCAGTCTCTCTTTTCTCCTGGTCCGTCGAGCAAAACGCCCGAGACACGACAATGACCACGCGCGTGACTGAAGGCGCGAGAGGGGAGAGGCACGCGCGTGCACTCCCCTTACTAAATGGAATTAATAGAGAGAATTTGTCTACTTATTAAAGCTTTTCCCATCAGGTGATCATTTCATTGATTCTCACAACATTTTCTCTAGATTATGTATGGATATCGTTAAGAGAAAATTGACTTTGGTCGCTCTTAGGACTTGGAGAGTTAGCGCATGCCTGACAAGCTAGATTACCGGTATATCATAATGTAAAAAGTGACCTTACTTCCTTGTTCGGGTTACATCTTAACATTTACAATTAAACACAGACGGAATTGCACTTCACGGTTTATAGGCAACTTCCATTATACCCTATTCCAAGGCTGTGAAATTTTTTTGCACGAACTTTTTTTGTGCTTTTTCGAACTTTCTCATAGAAAATATACAGACCACATCGATCAATCAACTTCTTAACGGCGTCTTCACAAAACTTGACACATTTTTATTAACTAGCTTCTGATTATTTTATTTGCTGATCATGAAATCCAGTAGATTGCTATTCAAATGGGATAACTGGCATTAGCCAAAAAAAAAAAAAATAGAAAACGATAGTGAAGCCAATCTCTGTCAAATTAAGTGATACATAAGTGATACTGGTCTTGCGACACGGACAGCCGCGCAGATTCGTTACACACGCGAGCAGAATGAAAATCATCAAAAATTTCCACAACGTACAGAAAGAAAGTTGAAAGGATTGTTAGTAACGAGCCGAAAAAGGCGTGATATTATTTACGTGCTAAACGATAAATGATTCCAGCTTTCTACAAAAAGCGGCCAATCTGGATAAAATGTCGCTAAAATTTTGCTTGCTAAATCGAAATATAATTAAAATAATCCTTGAACTTCAAATCTACTCAAAGCTCATCTATTCGACCTAACTGTTTATGTTACAAGTAGGAGGTGGAGTTTTTATTGTTCTTTCTTTGCAACTTTTTAACCAATACCGAAGTGAGACAAATCTACTTTTAAGTAAGTTAAACAATTACACTAATTTCTTTTCAAATTCATTCAAGTTTTCAAACAATAGATTTATGAATATCACGCGTCCCTCAAACAAATAAATAGAGGAACTAAAAGTTCTTAAATCACTCAATAATTACTTTGATACCGTATCTAAAGCAAACGTGCAAGCTCCATAAACTCTGTTAAACGACTGAATATGTGTTCCCTGGAAACTGCAACGCGACAGTTAAACTTCGACAAGCCAAGAATTCCCCGAAAGGAAACCGAGTATCCCCGAGTGCCCATTTGGAAACATAAAAAGGGCCGTCGACTTGACTTCGGAGTAGCCGACCCTTCGGTGTTGCTCAACTGTCCTGGTAAGCAAAAAAATGTAATGTTTCCTTGAAATGTGTCTTTTGGACTAGAAATTAGCATTCAGCGAAAAGTAAGGCAAAATGACGTGTCTTCGTTATTACGAGGTAGAATTCTGTTTGAGTTCCTGAAATTTATTTTGGATTTTTTTACTCAAGTCGGTAAGGGCATTTGGATTTGCGTAGGTAGAAGCATTTGCTTTGGCGCGATTCATATTCTTACTAACTTAACTGTTCACTCGTTGCAGATCTTTTACCAGACCGAACTGACCGGCTAAAACACCTTGACAGAATCATCTATACCAATTATCAGAAATCTCAGCTTGAGGCTGTCTTCGGCAAGAACAAGTTTCCAGATCGAAAGCAGAGAGTTGCCTTGGCAGCAAGAATCAATGTTCCTGTTGAGAAAATCACGGTATGTCTGAAATTTCTTGCCTTGTTAGCTTTCGATCCACGGCAATTTTCCCGAAACCCACAAACGTCAAAACTTGTAAAATGAAACTTACTCCTTAATCTACTTGATTTGGGCGTCGTTATAGGTTCTAGAATGAAGTGACACTAGGTTTAATTTTTCGGCTAGACATTCAAATAAGACGTGCCACTTTGATTAGAGGCTGTAGAACACCATTTTTTGTTTGTCCAGGTCATAATCCAATACGTTTCTAACATTCTTTTATTTTCATTGTAGACATGGTTTTCTAATCGCCGTCAGAGGTACAGAAGGGAGAAGGCACGTGCTGGACTCCACCCGGTTCTGCCCGCTTCCCTGTTGGTTCGGTCTTCCTACCACAGAACATCCCAGGAAATCAGCAGCTTCCCCGAGCAACCTGTACATCGGCTGGTACCACTGGAAAAGTTTCCGTCCCAAAGTTACCCGATGGATGCTCCGCTGTTGCCATGCCAACGAGTCTACCTGCCTGTGTCGCTCGCACAGTACACGAACTTTGCAGATACCCGTGAACAACAGCCATCAGTGCCATCTTGGTTCCCGACTTACCCGTCGATGTCCTCGGGATATCCCGTCCCTGAATCGTCCGAGTTCCAGCCGAACTTTGGCCCAGATCCCGAACGCCTAGCAGAAGAGTATCCATTTTCTTATCCGATTGCGAAGGAGCTTCCGCACATCTTTGGTAACGTGGATGAAGATGAAGTCCTGGAACGGCCGCTGACACCTTCGTTTGAGCCAACGAGTGAGTTTGAGTTCACCGACTTCGTCCAGCAAGATGCATTCGATTCATGTCGCTATGGAGGTAGCAGAGACTTTTCCTGCGGATTCGTGTCCAAAGGAAGATATTGTAATATTTATAGACAAGAATAGCATCTGTTCTTTTTAGTATGCTAAATTGCTACTTTTGTGGCGAAAAATGTCATTTTCAACTTTTGATTGAGTTATCGATTTTTTGTAAGTAAAAAAGTGTGAAATATTATTTTTGTTAATAGTCATTGGGCGTTTCGCATAAGATTTTATGAGATATCGATTTTTTGTAAGCATGAGTGTGAAATATAATTTTTGTCATTAGTCACCTGGCGTTTCGCCTTGGGGGTTATTAAATAAACTTGTGTTGAGAAAGAAAATCTATTTTTTGTGATTTCTTCGGTTTAACGGGTGTCCGTATCGTAACGAAAATCCATAGTGATAGCAGAAGAAAAAAACAAACCTCAGTTTTCCAAAGAAATGGTGGAGCGATCAGTAAATTACTTTTTCAAGGGGTGCGAGCACGAAAATTGACTTCTTAGCAGAAAAAAGTAGGCACAGAGCGGAAATTATAAAGGCCTGGGGAGAGGTTTATAACAACAAGGCGTTAAATGTTGCCGACCGTGAAAGACTGAGCTCCGCCACTCAGATCTTGTTTTCTTCGTCTCCTTCAACATGTGACTGTAGTGTTGTGTAAATTCAGTTGTGTTTGTTGTGTCTCTTCCGTAAAGAATCTGGATAAAAGCTCCTGCGATTAACCGCGATTTTAATGCTGAAAGCTTGTTAAAGATATCAAGCAGAGTCATAAGGATTGTGGATCTTTTCCGTAAATCTCTCATAATCGCTCTAAAATGGCGGGAGTTTCAATCATTCTAAAATTTCATCGAGTAATTCTCGAGGATGGGAAGCTTTTATGATCGCTATGGCTGCTTTAGACAGTACATCTGAACTTAATAACCTCTTGGACACCTGGAGAAGAGAGGATCAAGAGAATCTATCGCCTGTTGATACACTCCAAAGGTTGGTGGTGTTTTGATTCATTTGCATAGACTAGCTGGTTTTAATACACTCGAGCTGGTGACAAAGTACGGCGAAAGAAAACATACATGCATGTGTCAGGAAAGATCAGATTTTCCCCTGATGTTTTTTTGTGTATATATTATTGTCTTCCTTATTTACAGTCGTCGTATTGTGCTATCCATAGAAGTTACGAGATAAATTTAAGTCAAAATACCAAGCAAAAAAAACTTAATTGACAAAATTCTAACATTTCACATAACTGTTAACATCTAAAGTGGAACCCATTCATTAATATTAGGGAGCCTTAGCAACGACGACGGTGACGGCAGCGAGGACGTCAAAAAAGCAATAGGCTTATTACACAAAACAACAAGTTTGCATGTGCATCACGTTTTTTGTACATTTCTTTACTGTCCTTGCAACTACGACGTGAAAATGCCTAATAGCAAGTTTTATGGAGGATGTAAACAAGCGACGACGAATCTCTTTTTCTCTCTCTAAACTTGAGTGCAGTCCTCTAGAAATCAATTCCAGGGAAATTTGCCTACACTTGCCATTTTCAACAAACTGGAATAAACGCGACAAAGTTTGAACAAACGGAAATTCATTTGAAAACTGACGTTTTCGCTGCAGTTGCCATCGTCGATGCTAAAGCTCCCTATTGTCAGGCAGTAACAGTTACGTCTGACATTAGGCTTCATAAAACTGGTCCTGTGAAAGGGACAACTGTTATAATTACATGTAATTGGACCCAGAGGTTTGGGAGATGTAGCTGGAGGTTGCAGGGAAAATTCTCACAATTAATTGAAATGTATGAAGTACTGGGAACCAATCACTCCTGCTGTGTTCCAGTCTTGCTGAATTCTGGGATAGTGGGAATGGGTTCAAATGAACTGGTGCACTAATACTTACTTAAGAAAAGAGCCAACATTTTGTGACACCACCACTGCTTTTGGCGAAATAATGCATGACGAAAGAGTGCAGACATTCCATGCTTCTGACACATCACTACCCAGATCTGGTTAGTGCTTCTGATTGGTTGAAAATTTGCTTCATTCAATCAGAAGCACTGGGGTAGTGATACATCATCAGTATGGAATTTCTGCACTGTTCCTCAGACTTCAATTCTTATGGACACCAGTGGCGGCTTCACGAAAATGTCAGTTGGCTTTTTTTCTCAGGCTATGTTGATACTAGATAAGAATTTACAAAATTTGGTGTCTTCGACACTGTTTAGGATTGCAGAGTTGGTGGAACGTGAGAATGAGGCTTACCATAAGCTAGACCCAGACCCTTTTGATGACAGGCATCCAGGTAATATATATGTTGCAGCTAATTTTTTTACTTCAGTTAATTTTTGTTTTTCCTTTGTTTTAAATTCATTAGCGTACAGTACCATACCCAAAACAGTGGACAAATAAAAATTAACTGAAATAAAAAATTAACTACAACATAATTATACCCATTCAATGTAATGATGGCATGTTTTCTGTTGTGGTTTGGGTATATGTGACAGCTTGACAACCAGCTGGGCCATATGTATTACTAATATTAATCCTGCCAACAGCCAATGAATATCTTTTTAACCATGTTGAGTTCCATTTAAATTATTTTTGTTTGTGGTAGTCTTGAGTTCAAATCCTTGACCATACATGTAAAACAGCCGAGTGCAGGTTCACCTCCCACCAGTTGGGATTTTTAACCATGTTGAGTTCCATTTAAATTATTTGTTTTATTATCCTTGGGAAGCCCCATAAGGGAATAGGATAATTAAAGTATTTTTTCACTATTGCTTGATACAAAACTTATTGTCTGTTCTGGTTCAATAGTTTATTACTAAGTATCTAAGTATTTTTCTGTTGTTTTAAGTCATAATATTTTTTGTCATGATACAAAAAAATAGTTAAACCGAACAATTGACCGTTTATATACTTGAGACGTTTAAGTTGTCTAGTTTCATTTAACATCTCATCGTCTGGTTTAAAAATGGAATGTATAAAAGTAGAGAAACATTGAAAAAGTAGAGTTTGCTGAAAAAAGACAAAACACTGAGTCTTCCCAGTCATTTCTGGACAGGTTGGGCATAAATACATCCCAGTTTATAACCATTTAACTTCTGAGATGTTAAAGTTGTCTGTTAACAGTGCACTTAACAGAAGACATAAATGTTGTCAGACATTAAATGCAACCCTGTCTTATGTACCATTTTTATGCTAGAGGTAATGGTAATCTTTAGATGACTTTAACATCTTGTATAAAAACAGCCAGTATTATTAAAGTTTAGTCTTGTCATGAATTCACTTCAAAACTTTATGACAGTCCAATAGATACAAGTGCTGATCATCTGCAAAATCTGTTTGTTTTAGCCGTGTTTTCATTATTCTACCTGTCTGTTGTCCTTTCTCTCTCAGGTAGGGCAGATCCTGACTGTGCGTTAGGTCATCTCCTCAAGACCTTGTTCAGGAATGATGATTTCATGGATAAGCTTGTGAATTCTTACATTATGAGTGCTATGGAGGAGTTTGATGTTAACTGTATAGCATCTAGAGTATTGCTGAATGCCATGCCAGGATTGGAGAGTGCAGCTGTGTTCCAAGACATGGTTAGAATGTAGTTGGGTTACCATTTACAGTTGAATCCATACTAATACACACCTCTCTGTTACTGCCACTTCTTTGGACAGTCCATACATTCAGTCTTGTTTTTATCTCTCTGTGAGCGTAACACTCCTTTACAACTATGGCCACTTAATTGTATCCCGGATGCTAAAATAAATGCCTCACAAAGCAAGCAAAGTACCATTGTCACACACAACTGGGAGCTATGCCAAGCTAACCTTGCATACTCAGACCATGAATATATGGCTGCAACCTTTATACATCACCTTTTTACACACATCAAATTAAAAACAAAATGATTAAAACCAGAGAGGATATTACAGTACGACCTAGAAAACCATGAACACTTGAAATATTTCAGGAATGTTTATTGTGTTATGACCAATCACAGCAAAGATCAGGGCACACGAACTACCCACAAAACCACAAACTAATTAATGTCCTTGCTTGCAGTTTAGTTTTCCTATACCTGATTGGTACAATAACATTCCAGAAATATTTCTGGTATTCACGGTTTTCCCAGTTTGACTGTAAAAATGCATAGGCAAAAAACAGGTCAGGCAATGGTGGATTGTAGCAAAAACAACTGAACTCTAAAACACCATGTGACCTGAACACCCTCCGCACCCTTGAACTCATACTCCCAGCTGTATCTGAGAAAAACATTTTTCATTCCTCAGCCTGTGGAAAACAACAGTTAATGTACTCACTACACCTTGCTCGAGGAATGATTTAGTTTATATTTAATGTATTTTCCTTGCATTACATAATAACAAACTATTAAATGAATACAAGGATTTTTCAAGGTAAACATTTTCTACCACTCTCCCAACAATTGATGTCATGTTACACCCCCTACCCACGAATGTCGCTCATGGGTACGGGTTGAGGTCGGGTTTTTCTCGTTCTGAATTCTGCTTTCTCAGAACGGACCGCCTTAGTAATTTTGTTACCCACAGTTACAATAGGATTTAATTGTTTTTGCCTTCTGTGCCATGTGTAATTATGTGTTCTGTGTATTCTTGACCTCCCTTGTAATTTAGTGTTATATACTACCAAAAGGGTTTAATAAACTGATTATTCTTATTACCTCCCTATGATGGTCCTCTTTCTATATCAGCCACATAACTCTGCAGCCAAGGTGGCAGTCGTAGATAGAATCAACTGTACATATATTTGATTTTATTTTTCACTAAGGTTAAGGTTTTTAATTAACTGAGTTACAATGTATTTGTGTTATTTGCCCGTTTGGCCACTTGGCCTAGTGGTTAGAGCACTGGACTCACAATTCAGAGGTCCTGGGTTCAAGTCCCGCACTGATCACTAGCTAGATTTGTTCTTGGTTGTCCCGAGTTCAAATTCTCAACCACGTTTGGACGTAGCCAACTTGTTTGCCTCTGGGTAGTTGGGATTTTTAATCCCATTATGTTTGGATTGATCTATTTGTTTCAGGCATTTGCTTGGCCCAATTAGCATTAGTACTATAAATACTGCCAAAGGTAAATAACGGAAAATTATTTTTTTAAATATTTCTATTTTTGGTAGGAAGGTATGTTAACTAGACTGTGTAAATGGGCAAGAGAAGGAATGGAGCCACTCCGGTCTTATGCTATAGGTAAGATACAGTTAGAATGACAATTAAAAAAGAACAAACATGTTTATTAAAATCAAATAACTGTTATATTAAATTGGGAATTTTTTTTTAATAATAATGAAATATAATGTGGGTACAATGCACGAAGAAAGTAGTGTCTGATAGCCCAAGATTAATGGATTTTGCTATTGAACTTTGAAAACTGTTCTTAACTTGCCCAACGGGTAAGAGAAGCTTTTTGAGGAATTCAAATTACATACATGTAAGAACCATGAAATCAATCAAAAATTTTTTGGGCTAGTTGAAGTGAATTTTGGGCTGGTACATGCTAGCTACAGCTTACCCAAATGGCAAGCTGTAAAACTGTTTCCTTACTTTCTTTGCGCCTTGGGGTAATGAGAAGAAAAGTATTGTGGGCAAGCGATCTGTTTATGGCAAATGAAAGCTAATATAACTTGTCAATTAAACAACTCAGCTATTTTATTTTCAGCTAAGTTAAAACTTTTCCATCATCAGGCCTCTTAGCATTTGCAATGGAAAGTCAGGATATCGCTGCAATCTTCAGAGAAGAAAATTCTACCTTGGTAAGCTTCCTGCACATGAAATATTTTTAAAATATATAAATATTTGTGAGATTTTCAGAAGCTCTTTTTTATAGGCTGTCTTTAGTCTAGTTGATGCCACTGCTTTTATTAATACCAGTTTTGTACTTCCTTATGTCTGAAATAATATTAAGAACAATCTGTTTCACCTAATTTTCTGGCAGTTTTTCTTTTACTTGACTGTCTGAAAGAATATTAAAAAGCTAAAATTTCAATAATTAAAATTTTATTTAAATTTTTTAGTAATATTAATTAATAATAAATATTACATGATTATGTAAAAGTCCTTTGCTGGGAAGAGTGTTCACCTGAGACAATACAAACATGTCTTTCATTACGTAATAATTAGATTTCACTTTAAATGCAAAATAGAACTCATATACATGTTCATAGGTACCGTGCATGCTGCGACGATTACACATATTAAAAGACTTGTCAGACCTGACACAGCCGGCAGTGACAGACTTTTCAAGCAGGATTATTCTGAAGGCCAAGACAAGTAAAACCAAACTGGACTTTGGAAATAATATAGCCAGTAGTAAGGCCAAGAGAACCACTGTAGATGCTGCAGGGCCTTCAACCAGCGTTCAACAGGGTAGTGATACTGTACAGCTGTACAACGGGGAACTAGATGAAACAACCATCAATGGCATTGGAAAGGGTGGGTATTGGTTTTAGCAACTGACTACCATGTTTTCTCTCCCCACAACAGGGTTTTGGCCACAAATTTATGCTTAAGCATCGAACTCAGCCCTTAAGCCAGCAGTTCTAAAACTAGGATGTTCAAAAGGTTCTTTTAGTCTATCTGAAAATAAGCATTGTTGTGAAAGAAAAATAGTAATGAGAGTTCACTTTAATTTTTTGATTTTTTTTTTTAACCAGGAAAGAGTTTGCAACCTGCAAAGTTTCAGTCTATGATAAAGCCAAGCAAGGCTATCCGTTCCCCTAAAGGAGGGTATCACATTCTTCCTATGTCCTTCTCCCTCTTCCCTCTTACTCTCGGCATGCAACAGAGACTCATCTTACAATACCTGACTCCATTGGGTGAATATCAGGAGGTAAGAATGATGGTGGATGTGTACATCTTTTTTTTCTTATTATAAAGAGGATCTGTAGGGTTGACATCACTACTTTGTCACTCAGCTACAGTTAATATTATCAGTAGTTCTAAGTTCAACACTTAACAACATTACAGCTATTCCGGATATCATGCGACCTGAAAAACTTTTGAGATTTTGGGTTTTTCTCTGACATCAATCAAACCTTTACCATGGCATAAAATCCTTGCCTGTTAAATACTTTCAGGTTTTGAAGGAAGCAACCCCTGTTGAATTTCTTCTGCATGATGAAGGCTTTTGCAAAATCTTTGAGATGGAGGATTGTACCTCTCATTGATATCATTAAGAAAATATCCTTAAAAGTTTTTGACATTGCAGGTTGCATGTTATCTGAAACAGCTGTAATTTTGTTAAAAGCCAGCTGGTTTGCTTACTGCAAGGTACGATTCTCTTATTAAGAAATTAACTTTGAGTGGTAACATTGTCAAAATTCCCCTCATGTGAAGGTTGCAACATACCGAAAACCAAAACAATGGCAATGATATCAAGAAAAGTAGTCTGTAAACAGATGCTTCAGCCTTAATCGATCATGGTTTTTGTTTGTCTGTTATAGCTGTTACCTGCAGTGTTTGAAAACAAAGCTCTGGATCTTGTCATGCATTACATCACATTCAAGGGTCCTGTTGATGTTCAACTTGTCTTTGAAGCTCTTAAGGTGAGTCAAGTTTACCTTCAGTTGACTTCTGTTCCTGCAGAGATAACTCCAATATCAATACCCTTCATAGCAGGTGTCTTTTTAATGGAAACTCAGAGGTACATTGATCGCGGCCACCATCTTAATAGCGAAAAAAAACTAAAGGGGAGGGGCAGGGAGGACAGAGAAAATATTTTTCCTCCCCTCCCCCTCCTCTTTTTTAAGCCCATAAACCTCTCCCTTGAAATAGGTTTTTGACTTGCCCAACCCAACTCTCTGTTTGTTTCAATGTCCAAGATTTTAGTCCTGAAAAAAGCATCATGGTTTGCGCTGGAAAATACGCCTGCTTTGCAGGCTATAATATCAGGGGATGGATAAAGGGCAAAATACTCTGTTTCAAAAATAAGACTTTTCAGGCATCTATCAGGCACTTATTCATGGTTTCTCCGATCAGACCTTCATCTCCAGAGGTTAAAAGAATGACAGAAGTTTCTGCAGTGTTTTGTCTGTACATGTAGATGCAGTACACATTATTTTCAGGATGGTCAATTTTCCATGTTTATCAGAGCCTCGCATTCATTATATTATTATTATTATTTTGTTCTTTTTCAGTATCTTGCATCTCTACTTTGCCACAAAAAATTTGCTACTGAATTTGTCACCCACAATGGGGTGCAGAGATTGCTGGAGGTGCCACGCCCGTCAGTAGCTGCCACAGGCTGTTCTATGTGTGTATATTATCTTGCTTACAATGAAGATGCCATGGAGAGGGTAAATATCTCTGTTTCTTATGCAGTTAGAGCGTATCACTCCTAAAAAATTTTAAAAAATTGATTTGTGTACAGACATGATATTGTGAAAGGTTTGAACCCAGGAGTCATTTCAAAAGTAGGTTGAGTTTGATCGTCCGGGTGAACGTAGTCCTGAATAGGACTGTTGTTGTTGACAGTGAGGACTGTTGTTGTTGACAGTGACTGACGTTTCGACAACCTGTGCGGTGGTCATCCTCAGAGTCAAAGTGAGTTGTATCACGTCAGTTGATGGTATTACACTCTGGTTATTGATTTGAGTGGTCAATTACGTCGCGATGTTATTGGTCGTCTGTCAGTTAAGCCGTGATGTTATTGGCTATGAAGACTCGTAATCAGTAATTATTACTTATTAATGCTAATCTAGAATGATACAAAATAAGTTTGATCTTCTTAGGTGTCCCTCCTACCTCACCCAGTATTGAGTGACATGGTGAAATATGCACTGTGGCTTCTCGAATGCTCTCACGATTCCGGTAGATGTCACGCGACGCTGTTTTTCTCGCTAACATGTTCATTTAGAGCTGTGCTGGAACTGTTTGATAGCAATGATGGTCTGAGGAAATTAGTCAACCAGGTAAAAAAACAGTCTAGTAGCGATTAACAGTTATTGAGGAGCAGGGATTGGCAGGGATTTGCTCCTAAACCGCACGGAAACTCTTGCTACACAGGCGAGGTTTTTTAGTCTGGTGATGACTATTTCAAGCCACCAACGTGAAAAAAGGAAACACAGACCTTTTACCTTTACCTAGCCTTTAACTTTTAATATTTGTTTTTCGAATTTTCTTGATTTAATGCACTATTTTTATTTTCAATAAGACATCGATACTGCAGGTTTAACATGGAGGCTAGTTAGCAATGGCGAATTACCAGTATTACGTTGTTATCGTGATGCTTGTAAGTCAAAAGTCAACAAGATACTGAAAATTCATTATCTTAACGATGATGTTGAAAATTTAAGATCCTACGAAAAATTCAAGATCGCAACGGCAGGATCTTGAAAACTGAAAATCTTGCTGGCAGAAAGTCGGAAAGAGCGCTATGATCGATGCATCAAAGTCTTAGTACTTTAAAATCTAGAAAGGGGTTTTTACGTTGGGTTTTTTTTGTTTTGGCTTGTGCTTGGAACAGAAAGTTAGGTATCACTGCGAGCCCCTCTGGTGAGCATCACACCAATCTTTGGGGTTCCTGTGGTTCGGTGGGTGTCCTGTTTCAATGTTACCACTAAGTAATAAAGAACTGAACCTTCTTTTTCTTTTCCATAGCTCAGTACGCTCTCAATTCTTCGTCCAGATGAGGCTGAGTTATTAAGCGATGACGAGGTATTTGGTAAAAGGCAGACAGCCAAACATACATGCATGGCTTTACGACGGTACTTTGATGCTCATCTTCACATCAGAGCTGATGCACTTAGGAGATCAATTGCAAGAAATCATGGAGGGACACCCCCTGTCCCCGTGCCAGCTTACAAGGTAACAGATGTCACATTTAGTCACACTTATCTTTTTAATTCTTATGTTCTTTCTTTCCAGTTGTGCTCTAAAGTTGTTGGTGTTTATTTTATAGGCCACCTCCCTGACTCACAGTAATACCATGGACAACTGTCAACTGATGTTGGAGCATGCGCCCAGTACACTTTGCTGGGAACCTGTTGAGGTAAAATTAAAAAGTAAAATGTTAAACCATCCCCTCTCTTTCTCCTTTAACTGTCATTTGACTAATCCAGATTGAGACATGTACGTTATCCAAGGAAAAGAAAGGTGGTGGTTGGGTGGATGGTGGAAGTCGGCAGGCGGCGTTAGTTACTGTTATATGAAAGCAGTTCAGTACCCAACATCTTCGACTTCTCTTCTCACAGTGTTTTGTTTTCACTTTAGATGATGAACAAGCTGCAAGGATTTACTCTGCTTCTTCAGCTTATTTCTTTGTCGTCTGATTGGGGAGTTACAAGTAACAGGTAACTTCTTAAAATATTCGCGGCTTTAGCAGTTAATTGTAATGAGTGTCGTAAGAATAAGTCAAGTGATAATGGTTGTTTACCATTGACATTGGCAAACCGGTCGGCTTACGATTTGGGTAAATGGTAGCAACATTCAGGACTGGTTAATTTTTTGTCCCTGAAATCGCCTTTACCATTTGCACAAATCAAGTCTATTTACCGATAAACGACGGCGAAAGCCAGAAGCTGATATCAAAGATGGCTTTGAAGAACTGGGACACACATTTCCGTTTGGAAAATTCCAACCGGTAAAACAGGACTACCTTTTCAGATGTTCCGTTGCTCCCGGAAATTTTCCATTGACACGACCCGTGTTTCATTTACTCTCCAACCGGATTTGCATGCTGGAAAATTTTTGTAAATGGTAAACAATCGTAAATTTCTCTAGCTTATAACGATACGATCTGACGGTCAATAAACCAATCATATCTTGACTTAAAGTAAACACATGTTGCGGTCAGAAAACGCGGGAAAAACGTGTGACTTAGTGGCGGATGGTGTGGGCTTTAATTCCGATTGGTTAAGAAAGTGGCGCGAGATTTTCCAGCCAATCACAAAGTAAAAATGTTACCACGTAGTGGGCATGTTATGTGCAGGGCGAAAGTTGTACATCTTTGTCTCCGGTTGTTTAAAAATCTCAAGAAAAGGTCGTGCCGGTTATCTAACTCCAATCTCCCACTTTATACACCAATACCTTATCACAAACGCTGTTCGTTTTTTTAAACGAATACGAAGCTTGATAGTTAATAAATTCTTGTTTGTTCTCTATTTTAACTGAAGAGCTGACGCTATCCGCCTGGCAGCGGACGTAACTCGCTTGGCCTTGGAAATGTTGTTTGTGCTTACAGTTGGTCCCAAAGCGCAACTAGCGCTATGTGAAGAAGTACCACTTCCTAATGGCGAACAACAGAAGGGAATGAGGTAAGACAAGAACGCTCTTAAACGCAGCGTTAAGTCTCGCTTGCTTGGAGATTAGATAAGAAAAGAGGAGACAATCAATCTTGTATTCATTGGGTGTTAATTTTCCAGACTTATACTCCGTTGTGCGGAGGGGAGCCTTCTAAGTGATTCTGAAGTCCAGAAAGCCGCTCTTCATGTCATTTGCAACTGCGTCTGTGGACCTCCAGTGAAGGTCAGCACTTGATACTTGTATTAACGATTTCTTCTTCAATAGCAAACGTCTGCTATACATGTACGGTATCTACCCCATCCCACCACCCCACTATCATGGCCGCCATTCCTTGTTTGTACCTGCCAACCACTTACAATACTACTTAAAATAACTGCTTTAACGCAGAAAGATGCTTTGGCTGAAAAAAAAAAAATAAACTTTGTGATTTCTTAATTATGTAAGCTTGCAGATTGTACAGAAATTTTCACGTCACTCGCTTTGTGATTTAAGCTATTAGTACAGCGGTTAGTCTTCAGGTCGCGGACTAAAGACTAAGAAAAAAACAATATCGAGCACGGCTGCTTTCAAAAAAGATGTCAAAACCACGGCAGGATTAGCTCAGTCGGAACAGCGTGTGACTGCAGAGCGGGAGGTCGCGGGTTCGATTCCTGGGGCCGGACCAATACTCGGGGTCTTAAAATAACTGAGAAATGAAGGTACTCCCTTTGCACTGCAAGCGGCTAGACCTTCGCGTGGCTCGGATGACCAAGTAAAATGGTGGTCCCTTCTCAAGTTGGAGACGTAAAAATAGTGTCCCCAATTAGTACTTTCGTGAAAATACATTGACGTTCAGATAAGGTGCTGTTTTTTTGCATGTAGCGCTGTATGCTGGTTCTAATCAATTATTAATTGCTGGTCTGTTACGAGGATACATCCTTAAATTTCAACTATTTAAGGCTTAAAAGAGTCAATAGCCTTCATATCCATTCGTGTCAAGTTAAATCCTTGTTGAATTGTTGCAGTTGAGCGGAGCTGTGGCTAAATACCAAACCAAACACCGCGCAGTATTCAAGAGCAGCGATGACATCCTTACCAAGATGTGGGGATGTGTGCGTTCAAGTAACGGTATTAAAGTTCTGTTGTCCTTGTTGATGGTAAAAACGCCACTCGTCGACGCGGACTGTATCCGTGCACTTGCTTGTAAAGCGCTCTTCGGCCTGTCAAGAAGTGAGAAGATCAAACAAGTCATAGGAAAGCTTCATCTTTTTAACAGTGGACAGCTACAGAGTAAGTGAACTTTGTTGAAATTCCTCACTTTACAAACGAGGAGACTGGGCCGAGTTAACTTCTGCAAAGACACCTGGGGCTATTCCAAGCGAAAGGGAAAAGAATTGGCCAATAGCTGACCGGCGCTTTCCCTAGTAACGATCCCATCTCGGCTCCAGTTCTCTTCTCGTTTCTAAAGTAGCGAATGTGCGTGCGTAAAAGCGCGGGAAAATATGAAGGTAGTTTCAAGCGGGAAAAACCTGCCACTGGTGCTAGCGCTCATGCAATTTGATGTTCTGGACCCGGATTAGCGCTAATCCAGGATTAAAAATTCATTCCGTTTTTGTATTTTACCTTCCTGTGTATTGCTTAGAGTTACATTTTGTTTTATCATTACTGTTTCTCGAATTAATGGCTCAACAGTATTTGTAAACTCGAGTTGCATGTTCTTAGAGAAGAAAACCTTGCTTAAAATGTGGCTTAATCCTGGGTTAAACTTAATCATCTTTCGAGGAACCGGTCCGTGTTGAAAATTTAGCGAACCATAGTTAAGCGAAAGAAATAGGCGAAAGTAAACTGAATTGTGTATAGTCGAACATCGTTAATATCGCTATAGAAAGTGTCCGTATTAACGGGGTGTCCGTTTTAAGCCGGTTGAATTTAGTAAAAATATAAGGGCTTTCTTTCCCCAGGGGCAAAGCGAACTGTACGTCATAATGAGGTGCATGTTGTTTACTGGGTTTGGTATTGTTGGTTAAGTAAATTTTTTGGAACGGGAAAATGCGTGTTTGTCGATGCTATTGTCAGAGCAAGTTTGTGGAGGAGTAAATTGATAGAAATATATTAAACGTGTATGGACTCCCACTGCTAAACGTGGACAACGTGTCACATCTGCCAAGCGCAGGAAAATTTGAAAGGGAGGGTACCCACGAAACTGGCGCAAGTTTCTGTCTAGTAATTTAATTCTTAACCTGAAAAAAATCATTTGTTCTGTTTTACCTTTTGTTAAATTTATATTTAATTTATTAGTTATCATATTCATTTATTACATTTAATTTATATTTTGTTAAAGTTCTTATGAGGGAGCCAGTGATTGAAGATAACGCTGCAGACCATGCGCAGTTTTGCAAATATGCTGCGGACCTTCTGGAGAGAGTCACTGGGAAATCACTGGCCACTTCATCAGCTGTACCGTCCTTGTCCAGGATCACCAAGGTAACATGAAGTTAACGACGATGGTTTGTCATCCACAGTGGCCTCCCAAACTTCTGTGAAAAAAATGGTTTGTCATCCATATAGAGTTTATAAGCCAAACCCAGAACGAAAAAAACAACCCCGGTAAAACTGTGATGCGCAACTTGTTTATCTGTATAATCCCAAGAGCCAGGGAAAGGAAATTTAGTTCGAGTATAAATTTAGTTATTTGATTTCGAGTTATCGTTGTGGTTACTTCAATGCACTGATGGAGAAGTTGGAAAAACGCGTTCTGTTTCTGTTTAGATTCTCCTAGTATTTTCTGCAATTGGTAAAGAATATAATGAAGCCCAAAGCAATTGTGGAATTGCACGTGTTTTAGGGATCCTACTGAAGAATGTTTTCATCAAATAAGTAGGAGCAACAATCGCCTTAACTCTATTTCCTTCTAATTATTCTCTTGTAGTGAGTTAAAAAACTGTACTTTGTTTTATTTTGCTTTAACATCAACATTTTTATGTTCAAATGCGTCATTTTGACTTTTCATGCGGAATTCACTAACAGCTTTTATTATAAAATACCATGCTTCTAGAGGGAGAAAGAAAGCTCTTCTCCAGTTAGGCAGTCATCTTTTTTTGTGTTATTTTCAGGCCGATGTCGTTGCACAGACGCATATTTCATATCCCTCAAAAGAACTACTTCAGCTCATCCATAGCCACCTTACTGCTCAAGGTTAGCCTCTTTGTTAGTACGTCATAAACGCGACCTGTGTTATAATAACACCTAGCAAAGTATTTCTTTCCATGCTCTGTGAATATAGTGTTGGCTCAAGCTTTCTGTAGTTATTATTTCAAACGAAATTGTCGTACACGATGTACTGGATTTTATAAAAGAACTCTTTCTTACAGCGGAAGTGTGTTATGGAACGGCTTGCCTCTGGATGTGCGGCAATTGACATCCCGTAGTATATTTAAGGGAAAATTGAGAGACATAAATTTCGATTGACAAATAATTTAATTAGCGATATTCTGTTTTTACACACGGCCTCCTTGAAAAGCAGGTTTTTTATTTTCATCTTTATTATTTTAGTTTTTATCTTAGATTTTAGATTAGTTAGGAAGTTAGTTTTTCTATACTTCAATGTAAATGTATACCTGAAGGAAATACCGTGTTTAAATAAAGTTACCTTACCTTACCTTACCTTAGTTTGGTTTTAGTCGTAGACTAGCTATGTAGTTTTACTTTCTGCGTCCGTCTAGCTTTGCGGTCTGTTATTCTTATCCAGGTCTTCATGAAACAGCCCAAGTTTTGAAAAGAGAAGCGACTTTACCAGATCTTAAGCCAGCTGCAACTCCACTATCAACACCCACAAACAGAAAGGTATTCAGTATTTCAAGATTTAATTTGTAATGTATATTTGTATTTCAACCGGTGATCTCTGGCAGAGGCAATCGACTCACACCCCCTTTAGGGGGGAGTAACAATACTTCTTTGTGTTTATCGCTACCTTATTGGCTCGTTTTTCCGTCTTTAACATTAGAGAGAATAGGGAATTTGAGCAACGAAGACGGCAAAAAATTAATAGGCTTAGATTGGCAAAACATCACGCATTTTTGTACATTTCTTAGCCGTCGTTGCACGCCTACATCGAGAAACGCCTTTTTTTCACGTTTAGCGGAGGGCGTGACCACAAGAGAACAATTTTCTGGCATGTAACATTTTGTATTTAGAGTCACTTTGGCTTCCTCGTTAGTTTTTGATTTTGGTGCAGAACCGCTTAAATCATGGATCAAGTGTATTCACAGCATCACCATCCATGAGCACCCCAGGGACCCCATCCTTGTCCCGCTATAGATTCAGCGACCCAGGAACACCAATGGAAAAGGTAAAAAATAAGGATCAATCTTTTCTTTTTCTTCAGTAAAAAGTATTACATCGTAAAACCTTCACTGTGTCAGCTTTCAGTGAGGAAATAGCAAGATAATTTTAGCCCAACTAACTTATTTATTGACGTAATGCAAATTGGTTTAATTTAGCGCTCTTGATTTTTTTTTTCAGCGTCTTTTACCGAATAATTCGCGAGACACGCGCCCGCCATCACCGCCTACACTGGACTTGATTGTGACGCGGTATCTTCGTGAGCAGCATGCTCAGTGTACCAACCCAGTGTCTGCAGGTCCACCCTTCTCTTTAATTCGGTTAGTTGCAACTCATCTTGTTTGGTTACCCCTGTAAACTGATCTTACGAGCTAATAGGTAGCCCTGCGGGCGGGCTCACTTGTGCTAATTTGCGGAAAGTTTTGACGGCGGAGCCGCCGTCACGCGAGGAAAGGGGACACTTTCTTCCCATCCCCCACCTCACCTCTCCCCCTGGCGGCTCCGAGCTTGCACAAGTGAGCCTTAGCAAATAGGTACCTATGCATAACATTTATTTCTGTCGACAAGACGAGACCGCAAGCCTAACTGTTTTTTGTTGGGTGGCCTGTGCTAACTATGCTTGACATCCATTCTGTCTGTTCTTCAGTTACGCCAATTAACCTCGTTTTCTCACCGAGTCACGCGGAAAAAAAACTGAACACTTTCTTGCTTTAATCTCAGATTATCCCTTATGTATTTATTGTAATTTTTATTGTATTTCATTTTTTTAAAACTTTTTATTTATTTCCTAGACCTCACAAATGCCCAGAACCAAAGTACAGATATTATGCTCCGTCTAATTTGACGACGCGACTGAAACGAAGAGAGGTACGTATGCTAAAATTGGAAACGGACAATTGAGGACACATGTTTTTTTTTTTTTTTCTTTTTTTTTTTGCCAATTGAACAGTTAAGCTGTCCAAAATTGCCGTTCACCCGGCTTGTATATATTAATGTGCACCCCGAAAATTCACGAATTTGTTTTTTTTTTTTTTTTTTTTTTTTTTTTTATGTAGGTCATACCTCGTCACGGGGGTTTCAATGGCGCAAGGTACAATCGGCGATATGTTTACGGCAGGTACGTGCAGGATTGGGATTGGGGTGTTTTAGCTTAACTCTTTTAAGTCCTGTGTGTGGTTGTGTGCCAAGAGTGGCCAACATCAATTTTCTCCGAACAATTTCAATACATTATCAAGAGAAAAAATTCTGAGAATTTATAAAAGCACCACCAAAAGTCTAACTGTTTTCTGGGCAAGTGCGTTTCTCTTCGTTTTATTCAGTCCGCTTAATTAATGATGTATCGCCATGGTGACTTATAAGTATTCTTTTCTTTTCTGTTGGTGTTTTTGTTCTTTATTTCTTTTTTCTTTCTTAACTTCTTTTGTAGGTTTAAGCCACTCAGAGCTATTCGAGACTCAGAAGAAAACAGTCTTTTCACGTGTGCTTCATTTGCGGTACGTTCAAGAACCAAGTACTCTGTTATTGGCTCAGGCTTTAATCAGACTCGAATTACGAAAGATAAAGACGTAATTAGTTTTAAAGCGGTTTCTTTTAAGATACTAGAAACGTTTGAAGAATATGCCCAAAGTTCTCATAAAACCAAAGCAATTGAACTTTTGCCAAAAGTCACGAACAATTCCAATTTTTGACGAATTTTGTTTGAATTGCTTTCGCATCTTAAATATAATTGTCATTTACATTTTTAGCCTGATGGCAAGTCCGTGTTACTTGGTACCCAAATGGGCGAGATCAAGGAGTATAACATGCTCACAGGCCAGGTAACTTAAAACTGTGTGAAATAACCTTTCCTTTGTCATTCTTTCATCTTCCCTAGCTCACTTTTTTCTCTCTTATCGTTAGGAAGAAGCAACGTACCTGTGTAGTCCAGATAGAGCCATCTCTATGTGTCAATGTTCAAAGGTTAGACGATGATTCATGTAATGATCTATCAAACATACATACACCATGTACAGGTAGCCATTACGACACCTGAGGGAGATCATGAGGTTATCCCTGAATTAAGATCTCTCCTTAGAGGTAACCCACCCAGCTCAGGAAAGGCCGTTGGCCACACCACTGGGGTCTAGGTCCCCTACTCTTTTCGAACAGTGGTGTGGGTTCTTTTATGTCCCAAAAGAACCAGGTCAGTGAAAGTGCTATGAGATGGGACCTACGGTTTTTCGTCCATAGTATCCGAAAAAACTAGTAAGTCTCACCGTTTCCAGATGTCATTACAAAGGCAGCACTTTCCTCTCAGGTATTTAAAGACCCTGAGTGTTGGTCCGGCCGGGGTTTGAACCCGCGACCCCCCACTCAGCATACCAACGCTCTCCCAACCAAGCTAACTAGGTGGCAGTTGGGAGCCAGGAACATCATGAAGTTCCCTCTTGTATAATTCACGATTATCCTCGCACACCTTTTAACTTTGCTAGACTTGGCACAGTTTTACAGTAATCCTCCCTCACACTGGCAGTTATGAACTTGTCATCTTGTTACCGAGTGTTTTGATGTCAATTCGTTGTTATTCGTTTTCAGGATCGCGAACTCCTGTTAACGTCGTCATCATCCGCTCTTCCTCCCTCTGCCTTATGGACGTTCGGAGATTTGTTCGAAATGAAGTAAGTTCAAGACCTTAATCCTTTATACCTACGTAGCTTATTTAGTCGTTCTTTTATTGTGGTTAGATTTCTACAACGGGTAATTTCTGTTTTTTCGCGCCTTCTTTTACTTGAAATTACTTTTCAAATCGTGTTTGAAATTGTGGTCGATTAGTCATCCCTTCGCCAACCCGACCTTGCCTTTCGATTTACAGTTTTATTTTGGTAGCTTTCAGTACCAACGTATACATTACTGTATTCTAAAACTGAACACATGAACATCTCTCCTGGAGGTAGAAGTTTATCAAGTATTCATTTAACTCATTTGAAGCAGCTTTAGTGCGTGTGGCGCTTTTTCCTGGCCTCTGAACGACTTGTCACTTTTCAGGCCTTTTTTGGCCTCCGACATGCCCGATGGCAGAAACGGCTGCTTGCACTTTTATCGATGATTTTATGGGTGTCATTGTTTTGTTTGCCTTTTGACTTTCACTTTCTTCGTATTAAAAATATTGCTTGTGTACTTTTATAATCAGCTTTTCACTTAACTTGCTTCTTTGTTTTGTTTTTTTTTCTTTCACATAGACATTCATTTAGTGAAGACACATGGGTAAAATTTAGTAATTTATCAGAGGAAAAGATTATTGGAACTTACGATACCACGGCTCACGTAAGTAAATTTTTGCAATTTTTTTTCCCTGCGTGTTAAAGCCAATCCTTATTACCAGGGCTCTCTGCTACTCGTCCCCCAGAGCGAGAGAGGAACGAGGACAAGAGAACCCTGGGAACGAGGCTGGTTAAGGTCATTTACTGTTTGTAGAAATGGGACATTGCGTGGGACATTGCCATGGAAAGGTCAAAATGTTCAGGGAAAGTGACCTTGACAGCTGCCGAAATGTTTATCCCGGTTTTCGGATTCGCATGATAAAACAAGCAATCAGAAGAGTGGCCAACATTAACACTTACTTCTCACTTAGGGGAAAATGTTAGCTAAGGGGAGAGGTGGGTGGGCGGTTTCCCAGAGACGTATGATGATCCGAAATTTGTTACGTACACGTCACAATACAGGATTACGGGGCATAAGCGCGAAACGTCAGCTTTTGAAACTTTTTATGTTGGCAAGTTCATTTTATCAACTCAAAGGATAAACTTAATTTGTGTTTCACACCCTCACCAATACAGCAGCACAGTTTCTTTTCGTAATTCGAGTGTGACTGCGTTTGCTCAAGGGTGTAACATATGCTAGGGGCCCCTTCCCTAAAAAAAAACACGGTGAGTCTTTGTCCCTGAATTTTTTTTTCTTTTTGAGGGGAGGGTGCAGCTGTACACAAGCTTCTAGGTCAGCCGCAGACAAAAAATAATAAAAAAAGGTCTCTCTCACTGAACGGAAATTTAGAGGTTACGTCTGAATCTCCTTAGCCCTGTGGCGCAGTTTAATATTAATATCTACATACAAATTCTCCAGATTAATCTTCATACATTTCCTTAAAAAATTAGTTGAGAGAATTTGTTTAAAGGTCAAAGCATTTCTCTTTGGTGATAATTTCAGTAATTATAATAACCATTTTGCTTAATTATCGATTTATATTGTCAGGAAAAAATTGATGTTGGTCACTCGGGTTGAAAAGTTTCTCCCTTTTTTTCTTTCCTCAGATATACGATACATCAACTGGCCGCAGAATCCTAACTCTAAGCGATCCGAACAACTGTAACAACTATTCCAAAAATCTCGCCTCCTTTAACCCCACTGATGACCTGGTACTCAATGACGGAGTATTATGGGATGTCAAGGGAAAACGAGTTATACACAAGTTTGACAAGTTTAACAACTTTGTCAGTGGCGTGTTTCATCCCTCGGGACTGGAGATTATCATTAATTCAGAAATTGTATCCTTTCTAACTTGTTTGTTTTTATGTTTGGTTGTTGTTTCGTTGATACTGTCGCAAAACGAGATGAGTCAAAACAAGCACCAGGTCAGATTTACAGTCAAGCAGAAGACAATTTATTAGGGTTTCATCTCACGTGTAAGAGGGTTAAGTAACATTCCCCCCCCCTTCCCCCCTCAGTCATTGGACCATGTACCTGTACACAAAATAATACATCCGATCTTAAGCCCCACGGAAGAAAGCCCCCCTCCAAATTTGTTTCAGTGAATTTGATTTATTATGTCGTTTTGAAGCATAATTAATAACCAGTAAATGCATTAGCCTGTTGTTTCAAGAACTAGTGCACTTCTGGTTGGCACATAAATATCAATAGGTGACGTCAGCTAGGGTATCGCTGTTCCTTGTTCAAATCACGGTAACCTTCATTTCCAATGCTAGTGTAACATTAGCAGATCTTGAAGGACCTTAACTTAAAAAAACAGTGGGACCTCCGTTCCTTTCATTTGCTCGACACCTGTCCATCACTTGATCAATGTCACGTGATTTTCAACAACAGTGGTGACGTCATGTATGGAGGTATGTTGTCAATAGCAACCAAAAATGCAAAGGCACGTAACTAGAGGGTTAAGTCCCAGGTTGAGCTCTTGTGTCAAAGCCCATGAAATTTGTCTTTCTTGACTCGACCTCATGTAGTCACCTTACTTCCCAGGCTCCCTCGCTTCCCTGTTAAGTAGAGGGAAGTTAAGATTCGCCAAATTACTTGTTTTTGACGTATAAAATCGCCAAAGACGCAAAATAATTCATGGCAGGCGTCCCGTGGGACGCAAAGATTGGTCGATCGATCTGAAGATGTTTTTGTAGAACTGAATATCCTGTGCGCGTGATTTCTGTGGCTGCTCTTGCGGCTGTTGTTTAACGAGGTATACTTCTTTTAGTCTTTGTTGTGCGTTACGATAGAAGGAGTTGTTTATTCCAGTAAACTGTAATACAGAGTTTTGGAGTCTGTCTTCAAATTAATTGTTTGCATGGCCCAAAAAATTCAGTTTAGGGCTCATTGTTATTTGAACTGGGACTCAATGATTCTGGACTGGGATTGCCAGAAGTCACTGAAGGGTTCACTTGAAAAGTTAATATCGGCATCTTTTTATATTGCCTCGTACAGTAAAACACCAGTCAGATTCGGTGATAATACCGCTGGCCAGCCGATTGCTCGGACCGTTCGAATCTTCGTTTAGGACGTTTGATGCAACAGATTACCAGCCAATTGGTAAGGATCTAGATGATATCTTTTATGTGCTCACATTGTTTTAGTTATCTTGTTTTGTATTCCTTTTTTATTGATAGAAACAGTTTAAAGTCATCATTTTTTCTCATCAGCGACAATCGATGTCAAGAAAACGATCTTTGACCTGTGTACAGATGTTACTGACAGTTTCGTAGCTGTTATTGAGGTATGTTTCCTAAGTTGTCTTTTGAACCGTCTTGAAAAGTTGCAGTTACCTCATATTTTAAAAATTTGTTGTTCCCATTTCCTCTACCTCATTTACTGAACTGTGTTGAGGCGTGTCGATAAGGAGAGAGCCATCATATCTGTTATGCACCTATCAATGTAAATCCCGGGGGGGGGGAGTGCGGGCAAGGGGCGGGGATTTCATGCCTGAGACTATCCCCCCTGTCGGGCTTTTGATCGTGCGAAGCGTCCCCGGGGTCGGGACTTTTGACTTTGACCGACAGAAGCCTGGTGTCAGTTCAGAAGCGGTTACCAAGTCCGTCCCTCGAGGCTTCTGAAAGTCACGCTGTCGGAGAAAGGTACGAAGTTTTCATTTGTTTTAATAGCCATAATCCGATACTTTAAACTGTCACCTAAACAGATAATGTCTATTTTGAAAAGTTTTTATCTTCAAGTTCCCATCTGATTGTAAAACTCGATTCAAATCTAATTCCACCATGAAAGTCAGAGGATTTTTTGACATGTTGAGCAGATGTTATAAAGCATTTTACGTTTCATTAATATTATAATACTAAATAGCACGTTCAATCTTCCTGGAGTGATTTTGTTGTTCAAAATAAGAGATGCTAGTGGAGAGAGAAAATACTTAATTACAGCGAGTAATTTAACGGAGCTTACGTTAACCTTAAATAAAAGTAGTAAGAACGTTCTTTTGAAATATTCTTTTAATTCGTTTTATGTAGTGTTATAGTATTGTTTGTTTAAATTTTTTCCCACGGGGTGGGGGCTTTTTTGACACTTTTGATTGACCTTTCGTTTCCCACCCTGGGGAATTTGATAAAAAAATTTTAAAAATTTGTCAAATCCCCACCCCTTGCCCGCACTCCCCCCCCCCCTCCCCCACGGGGTTTACATTGATAGGTGCATTATCAACAGAAGACAGAGAGTCTGGCTTGGTCATACCCTACAGCATGGTGATCTTGTCCCATTAGTTATTGAGGGGAGTGAAGGATGGAGGCCCTTACTTAGCGTTCAAGATGCGCGCTTTAGATTGGGAACTATAAGGAAGATTCTGCCTTTGGGCAGAACACACGCAAGCCTTTACAGGGTTTCCTACAGAGTCTTGAATTCTTGAAAAAGTCTTGAAATTTGCCCAGCAATTTTCCAGACCTGGTAAAAGTCTGAAAACTAGAGATTAAGTCTGGAAAAATGGTAAAAAGTCGTGAGTTTATTTTCATAGCTACAACAAGTGGTTTATAAGTGAAATTTTGTTTTTTGGTCAAATCTTATTCAATCTCGCCCGTACGTTTGCAGTGCATCGTGAAAAAAGCTTTGTTCCTTTCTTTTTCTTAAGGTCTTTATTGATAACCTATTTGATAACCTCGAGTCTGGAAAAAGAAAATTATTGGTTTGGAAAAAAGTCTGGAAAAAGTCTTTAATTTTGGATCCAAAAAACTGTACGAACCCTGTGAAAATAATCCACGGAAAATCTTGAGTCTGTTTCGAAGCTTCTTTGAACACATCAGCGTTCTTACTGTTTCTTCTTCAGAACCAGGCGGGTACGGATGAGAGCGTGTGTCGAGTGTACGAAGTCGGAAGAATGCGAGGGACTGATGACGAGGATGAGCAGGTAAGGCTATCACAAGGGGCCTGGGTCCAGTTATTCAAAGGCCAATTATTGCTAACCAAGGGTTAAATTTTATCCTGGGTTTCTTTTTCTTTCGTTCAAAAGCATTTTCCGGTTGAAAATTTTCTGTATTCTTTTTAAAGCATCCAATCATCAAATTGTAGACAAAAAAGAATAAAGCTGCAGTGATTTGCTTTTTCATATCTGAATTCAAATTTCGCACTAACCCTGGGTTATCTTAACATTTATTTTGAACAACCCGGCCTTGGCCACTACTCTCTAAAATCGCTATGGACGTTGCTTTTGTTCACTGAATCTTGGTAAAAAATGGCGTGGTAATATCCATGTGTCCGTTTCATTATGCCTATGACTACGACTTGCTGACTCTTAGGCCCTGTTTACATGGAGTGGGGCACCCCGGTCTAGTGGGGTAGGTTTCTTTTGTTTTGTGTCCCCCAGAGCGTGAAAACAAAAGAAACCTACCCCACTAGACCGGGGTCCCCCACTCCATGTAAACAGGGCCTTAATTGTCTCAAGCGTGTCCTCTGAAACAAAAGAAATTGCTAATGAGGCAAGATTGCAAGCGTGCTAAAGCCTGTTAAAATAAATTCTTTTGTTTTAAAGTGAAAGCGTGTCGTGCGCGTGCTTTCACCTTTAGAATTAAAATCCTGTGGAGGGTCACATATTAATATTATCTTTACAGGAGTCAGATGAAGGTGGTGATGAAGATGACGACGGAGACGATGATGATGACGACGACGATGATGACGATGATGATGACGACATTGAAATTGCTATTTCGGGCGATGACGACGATTCTGACGACGACAGTGACACAGCGGTGTATTAACCCTTTATTTCCCAAGAAAATTCCAAATTCTATTTGGCAAAATACTCAAAAACACCCGCTAATACGAACCTACTTTTTTTTAAGTCTATTTTGAAACACTTGTGAAGGCAAAACCACAACGACAAACCACTGAGGGTCCGCCGTTTTCTTTCTTTATTTTTTTCTATCGCTCTTCCTGCCGTAAGGATCAGTTTACTGTTCTTAATTAGGTTCTTAATTTTAAAGAAGGAGATAATAGATTGTTGATTACCAGAAAAATAAATAAGCATTTTATTTATTCACAATTGTAGTATTACTACCCTAACAAAACTGATTACCAAATTTATATGTAGTTTAGAACATTATGTTCTTGTTATACTTAAATTTACGACTCAAAGTTACACTCCTTTGTTAAATTGTTTATCATGATTTAACTGTAACTCACATATAAGAACCTTCTTGATCTTGCTTGGCCAAACAAGTTCTTGTATTTTGGGGTATTAAAGTGGCAAATTTCTGCCAGGAGGTTCTTAATCCATTGGTACTTATTAGCGGTTAGTTACTGTAGTACCACGTGAAACTACTGCTGAAGTGGTTTCATTTCCATTCTCACTCCACAAAACTTAATCCACAGACTCAATAGTTAAAACTACCTAACACATTAATGATGCCATACGAGTGGCCGCGCCATAAGATTTCATCTACAGTAAGTACAGTAAGTTTTACTTAAAGTTAAACGAGCGGAGGAGGGGAAAAGCATGAAAGCTACTTTAGACTTTTAATCAATTATTTTCAACTCTTATGGCACATGCTCCCAGGCCGTTAATATCGAATAACGTCTCTACATTCGTCAAAAACTCTATTTTATAGCCATCTGTTGGCTAGTATGTACTGGTTTTTACAATTTCCAATAAAAGGAATGTACAGTTAAATTGTGATTTGTGATGTAATTGTTAGTCATGTAGACCAAACAAAACACGTACTGTGAGTGTTTTAAACAGCTTCAAAAACATCCCCGGAGTATTATATGAATAATAATAATATGTCGTTATTGTTCATCAGATAAAAATACTTATCTAATGGTACAGGAAAAAGGATTAAAAGTTTCAGATGAATACAACAGAACAAAGAAGTATAAAAAGATTTAAAGTGTTAAAAAATATACATATCTCATTAAAAGTCGTATTTAAGAGCTAATCTATTTACAAACGTATTCTCTCAACGTTTGGTATCTATCTATGGCCTATGGCAGCCTTTGCATGTTAGGTCGTAGGTTAAATCGATCTTCTCTTGTGGAAAGCAGACCTTCAGGAGTGGTTATCACACTGTTTAACTTCATTCAAAATCGCTTTATCCTGTTTGTGCAGTAAACATCTCATTTGCAACGGCGCAGATTAACTCTTAGCCTGCGAAGTGTTTTCGCAGGCTAATTAACTCTTAACGTATTTATTTCTATAACATTGATGAAAATTGCATGCCCTCCATAAAACGTAATGATTTTAAAAAATGTCAGAAGAAAGCATGCAAAGTTTAACAAAGGTTGATCAAGTATAGTTAGGCAAATATATTGATATTGGGAAACTGAAATGCACAGTTCTTAAAGCGTCTTCTTGCCTCCACACGCGACAACGCTGTCCAAAAGAAACGTCCGCGGTTAAAATCTCTACAAGACTGAGGGAAGACATTGCTCGCGAGAAGAATGTTACTAAATGTAACAGAAAAGCAGGACAAAGTGGGCGTCAATTTTTACGTAATGGCAAGCTGGTAAGAATTGTTTGTGACTTATTCTTTGCTTGGTTACCAGTCGTATCTTGAAATGGATTGTTTGTGGTGTTTTCTCGTTTAAAATCATATTTTGTTTTGCAATTTGTTTTAGGTGTGGCAGGTGAATAGTGGTTTGCGTGAATTGTTATAGCTTGAACAACTTTTACGTTGTGAGTTTTGACTTTTTCTGTGCTTTAAAGTTTAACAAAGGTCGATCAAATATACTTATGCAAATATATTGATATTGTGAAACTGAAATTCACCGTTTTTAAAGCGTCTACTTGCCTTCACACGCGATACCGCTGTCCCACGGAAACGTCCACTGAGGCTGAAATCACTAATAGGCCACTAATAGGACCTTTGGAGCTTGCCATTCACGTGGTACAAAACCGCCAAAAGTCACACTGGGGCAACACCAGCAAAAGGCAGACATAATTTTAAATGGTAATTTCCTTTGTTTGTCTTGTCCTAGTGCGACTTTTCCGTCCCAGCATGACGGTTTTGTACCACGAGAATGGCAAGCTGCAAAGTGCCTCTTTTCCAAGGACAAAGGATGATCATGATTCTAGTGGAGGGGTCCTTACACGTGATCAAATCCGTACATGCAATTGGACAATTTTATGCCTACTAAATATGTATGAAGTTAAAAGAGTCGGCAGTGATGAGATATCACTGCTGAGTATGGGGGCTGTAATAATCACAAGAACAACAATAATTAAATCGGCTAGTAATAATTCATTATTATATTATATTATACTGTACTGGTATTGCTGCAATAGGTGCATTTATGGCGTACATATATTCTTCTGTTATAATATTATAGGTAAGAAAAGAACTCAAGAACGCGTGTACATGCGATGGAAGACTGGTGACGACATACGGATTACAAAAACCGGCGCGACACTCTGTAAGTCAAAAAACGTATTCGTTTTACGATTAAGTCAGTAAAACTTTTCAAGCACCCCCTAATACTCAAAACTCGACGCGTTTCTCAGGCGAGCGAAAGTTAGCGCGAAGTGGGCGTGGATCTGCCTCGTATCCAGACTGGCGCTACTTACTTTCTACGGTAGTAGCAGCACAAGAGTCATGGGAGATTTTAAAGCAGAAGAGACCGCAAAGGACAGGAAATTCAATTTAACGTTTCTGTATTTGCCTGACAATAACGAACACGAAATTTTATTTCGATAATGTTACTGCTCGATTGGGCACAAAAATGTCTGTTTACTAGAGGGAGCCCTGCTAACACTATACCAGTTTCCTCCGGCCAATACGCCCACCTCCCTTCTAATTTTTCTTTGACTTTGATCACATGAGCATCAATATAGAAATACAGTATCAGTATCTTGATCGTTGTGCAGTTCCAGGTACCTTGATGGTTTAATGAACCAATCACATTGTTGATTGGCCTCCCTTGCCAGACCAAACGGTTTGCGACTTCTATCCTTGAACAAGCCGCGTCTTTTAACAAAACAGTTTCCGATAATGTAGAGAGAACGTTTCACCGACCAGCACAGAAAGTTTTAGACACTGTCCTTTTCACCACTCGCCTGATTTCGCGTATTCGCCAACAGTAAAGAACCGGATTGAGCGAAGAATTGATATAAACTAAAGTTGCTGCCAAGAAATGAACAATTATTGTTGGTCTTTCCGGCCCCTGTATTTGGAGTGCAATCATAACGCAAAATACGGGCAAAGAACACAATATAAATGCAATATAAATATAAAACATTGTATAGATTGAGCGTTTGTACTTGACCAAATTAAAATTGTTCTTTCTCACTTGTGTACTTGGCCTTTGGTCGGAGTTGTTCTGGCGTCGAAGAGAGACCATCTCTCTCACAGTTTGGTCTTGACGTTTGAGCGTTAAATAAATCTTTAAGTAACAAGCCGTGATGACGAACATGCAAAATCCTAAACCAATATTCGCCATGATATTGAAAATGCGATGATCGTAAATGATCAGACATGTTTCGGCCAATCTCGTTATCCAGATAAAAACAAGGACTTTCAAAACTCTCTTCCTTGTGACCAGTCTACGGTAGCTTGCTAAATGTAAGGCAAGAAAGCGATCTATGGCAATGGCTGTTTGGAAGGCGACTGAAATGACTGGAAAGTACCATGTAACAAGATGGAACGGAGCGCCTATGATTCGAGACACCTCAGCGTATCCGCTCATAGCCGTTAAAACAGCTAAAATATAAGGCAGTTGTACTAACAACCCAACTGAAAGGTCTGCAAGTGCCAGGTTGAAAAGAAACGCCTTGAAAACCATGTGTACGTGTGTTGCACGTATCTTTCGAAGAGCTACAATAATTAGCGTGTTTCCGAAGATTGTTGTGATAGAGGTGACGACATTTAAGGTTATATCCAACACGTACAAAGCGAATGGAATTTCAGGGTCCAGAAGGCGCCCTTGAAGAACAACGCTAAAATTTTTGGCCATCGTAGATCTGGGAGATGCAAAATTTTAGTGTGGATCCTTTTCAAATCAGGGTATATACTACATGATCCGTGAATCCAAGTAATTTATGGACCTTAAGTTTACGCCTGTCGCGTTATACTATACCTAAAGTGTTTTTTAGTATCAATATCACAATCGGTTCTGCCACAACACATGTACGTGATATAATAACAGGATAATCTGTGATATTCGAATTCAAATGATAGATGTCGTATCTAACATTTTGTTAGAAATCAGTGATATAAATAATTTCATTTGGTCGACAAAGCTTTAACGCTTAGGGCAATTTATATTTATAATAGTCAGTTTGAACGGATTTAAATCTTGATGTAATTTTGTTTACATACTTTGATATATACAGAAACAAATAAAAAATAACGCGGTGTCATCTTGACGCCATTTTCAAGTTTAATATTTGTTAAAAAAATAGAGAACAAGCCTTTTGCGCTAATTATTAAGTTTTGTAAGCCCTTAGAAATTTTCAAGGAAGCGTCCATTGTGATTGTGCAGTAACAAGATTTTTTTCTTATTTGTTAGTTTTAAAATGACCAATGATTTGCGCACTCATAATGATCACGTACACGCGTGCATCTCGATTAAACTGAATAAAGAAGTGTGTACTCTATGAATAAACAAGCCTTCTTGCTGAATGGTGGCGCCCGTATTTCTTGGGACATTGAAAACCAAAAAATAGCAAAAGAGACGGAAAATTTCATGATAAGATTACGTTTTTATCACTGCCAGATAAGGCCCAATCAGAGTCTGTGTACACATTGAAACTCTGTGAAGATGTATTGGACTGGTGTTTTGACACCTCCTCTATTATCACAAGCCACAATTGCCTACAAAAGTAAAATCATTACATGAACTAATGGAATTTATGGGTACCCAATTAACTTATAGCGAAATTGTACCCCGGATCCTACAACAAAATCCGCCTTTTTTCCTCTTAGATCATGAATCTTTAAAATGGCATGTTCCAGTTTTTCTTTTTTATTCGCAGCCTCTTATATGCTTTTGGATTTGACGTAAACCTTAACTAGACGCGTCCAAAGAATGGAGATAGGAAGTTAGATATCTCCAATTCAATTGGAGAAATGTCCCATTTCTGCTCAGAAACTTGGGAGTCTGACAAAAAAAATCCCCGCCCCTTTCCCCCGCTCTCTATTCTGTAAAGTGCGAAAATCAAAAGGAAAGCCCCCTTCTCGTCTCGGTCGTTTACATTTTTTATCTTTGATCATACTGGTCGGGGGGGATACTTCCTTATAAGAGACTAATGTAGGTGTGCGGCTGGATCAGGATGGCTTCGCATTTTCACGACTAGAATAACTATGATGGGGTAGCATATTTCCGGACTTTTTGGGGCTAAGACAATTCTTCTTATTTACGGTTAGTAAACGTACCAGGGTGTTTGTACTGTAGGTGAAAAATAGGTCAATTCATGTTTTAGGATGACCTATTTAAGGATTGATAAGATATAAAGTGACTAAGTTGAGAATGCGAAAATTACATATTTGCCCAA